CAGAATGCATAATTTCTCTCTCAATTTAGCTAGTTTGTGAAACCCTATAGATTTGGTGAAAATTTTCTATTTGATCATGTGTTGAAATGTATTTAACATCAATGTATCATTACATCTATAATTTTTAAACAAATTGATAATGAATTTCAATGTGATTTGTATTTTTATGCACACTTGAGTTATAAATCATCTTTATACTTATTTGATTGTAGCTAAAAATCTTAATAGGTTGATTGATTAATATGTCCAATTCTTGTACCATTTTTTACAAGTACTTAACATTGCTTGCATCAGGAAAAGTGATTCTATATTCAACTTTGGAGGTGAATTGTAATAGGGTGGTTTGTAATTTGTTTGAAGCACCAATAGTAGCAACTCTAATTTTATTCACAATATTGTTTATTGAGTATCTGATATCTTTATTCCTCTCATAATTTGCATCTAAAAAAGTAGTGAGATTTAGAATGTTGTGTTTAAGAAATAAAATATTATAATCTAGTATATCTTTTAAGTAATGTAAGATGTTCTTTATTGTATCCAAATATGTTTATTGAAGAGTAGCATCAAATTTGGAACAACTTCCAACTACAAATTTGGACATTATATCACATTGTTGTAATTTAGCAAAGGCTTTTGACTAAGATCCAATACTTATAAGGATCACAATCAAGTGAGTTCATATTGGCTAAGAGTATCTTTTTTAGTTTTATAAGAATATTTGAAGGTTTGCAATCATTTATGCCAAATCTTTTTACTATTTAAACAATGTACCTTTTTTGATACATCTATATGCCATCTCTTTCTAAGGTATACATGTTATAATCTACTATGATTTTGATCAATTTTAGAATAAAAAATATCCCATCTATTTTAATATATTAAGATTATAAAGTTTGTTTTAGCAAAAAGAAGGCTTTACAAAGAAAATACATTGTGCCATAATTTTTGAAAGATAAAAAGCCAAGTGTCATCATTATATAAAAAATTTCATTTAGATTTTTATTTTAAAAAGGTATTTTTACATCAAAATAATAAATATTCCAATCTTTTGAAGCTATAAGTGCAAAAGTTATTTCAATAGTTTTCTATTGTACAATTGGTGCATAAGTAGCAAAATAATCAATTCCTTCATTTTTTTTCTTTAAACAACTAACTATTTTTAAAATTTTTTAAACTATTTCTATTGCAATTAGTTTTTATCAAATAGATTTTAAAAACTAATTGCAATAGAAATAACATAGAAGTGCAACCCATAAATAACAAGACATATTCTTAGGTTTCCATATTGAATTTTTATTTTTATTTTTATTTTTATTTTTATCTATAGTTGATATCTAATTGCAAACTTGAATAACTATTTGATATGTGTTTGGCTTTACATTAATTTTGTCAAAATAATTGATATAATAGTGTTTAGATATGGAATTGGAGACTTAAGTTCCTCATGAGTTTCCAAAGAAATCTTTGAGTAGAATAATTCGTACATTGGTGAATAGCAATCAGGTGACTATGTTTTAATATTTGTATGCTCACTTTCATTTATTTCTCTTACTGTATCTACTTTTTGTTCCACATTTATCTCTTCTTCCATCAACATAGACAAGAATTGAATTAATACAGGATTTAAATCAAATAGAGGTATTCAAATAAAACAAAAATTATGAGTCTTTAGAAATACTTTTAAAAGTCTTTGAGGTTCAAAATTATTTAAGCCTAAGAATAGATTCATTGAAGGTAATAGCACAATTTGCAAAAAAAAACTTTGAAGTGGATAAATAGATCTTTTTTGCTTTAGATAATTCATTATATTCTATAAATATGTCTTTTATGGACTTGCTTGTAATTTTTTTTAGAAATATGAAGATATGCCATATATCTCTGATTTTTTACATAATCTACTTTTGAAACTAATTTGATTTGCTAAGATTTTAGTTTGACTCCTAAATTTGTAAAAAAATGACCTCTATCAACCAAATAATTTTTGGTGTGATTCCTAAATTTGTAAAAGTGTGACCTCTATTAACCAAATAATTTTTGATATGGCTCCTAAATTTGCACAAGTATCACCTCTATCAACTAAATAATTTTTGGTATTTATAGCCTCATATTACAGGAATCACAAGATCCTACTATCATACATCAAATAACTCATTTTTTTTTTTTTTTACTAATAAGCAATTGCAATGTTTACCAACTCTATTTGCTATAGAATCTTGGCTTGTAATAGTTGTCTTATAATCTCGTATTGATTATAATAATCAAAGAATGCTTTACATGTGAGTTCTTCTTTATTAGTGTAAAATTTAAGAATTTTATTTTCCTTGTTTTGTTCTCAACTAACTTTCTAAAAAAGTAAAATTTAGATAAGGTCTTCGATTTGGCCTTCAAAAAATATATCTATGATTTTTTAGAATGATCATTTATAAATACTAACATATATTTTAATCTTGTAAGTGAATTGACAAGATTGGAGTGAATCAACTCCAATATTTTTTTTGCTTAATGTAGAAAGCATTTAGAAAGTTTCTCCTATACTCTCTAACATAATTGACAAATCTTACAAACTTCATAATAAAAAGGTAAGTAAGGCATATTGTGGACTTTTTGTATGTGTAAAAGTTAAGAAATTGCTCTGTAGTTGAAGTATCTAAATTTCATATGCTATAATTATACTTAATTTTGTATCAATATTACATTTGCTTCACTTTTTGATACAATTTTGTAGATTTCTTTTTATCATTTGTCTTATTTCTAGGTTAACTCGTTTAGTTATTATAGGTTGTTTTATATCAAGCATTGACATTTTGTAAATACAATAGTATTCTTTCCATCAATTAATCCATTTATAAATATAAAACTTCAAATAATATATGGAATATAGAAAACATTTGTAAGTTTTATTCTTTTATTTTTGGTAAAAATAACAATGTTTCCTATAGCTTTAATCAAATGGGATTATTTCTAGTTGTGCAAATTTTCCCTCATGAATTGTTTCTACAAACTAGGTCTGATTTGTTCATCACTAATAATATGCTCAAAAGCACCAGAGTCTAAGAGCCATTCATCTTGGTCCAGCAACATTGTCATCTCATTAAGAAAGACATACTAACTATTATTATCTTCTTTTAACTTATTTATGTCTTTTTTTTTGGATTTTTCACTGAGACAATACTTGTTGTCTAGATGATTTTTAGCAATATGGAATTTTTTTAGTGATTTTTCATTATCCTTTTTAAAAGTCCAACATAATATCTTGCTAACATTAAGTTTCTGAAATTGAGTGACTAGTGCCTTTAAGTCTTCTTTTTCAAGCTTCAAGCTCTTGAGACTCATTTGATGAAAAATAAGGACCAATCTAGTGCTTAGGATGTCAAAAAAAAGAAAGCTCTTCTATGTTGGAAATGGTAGAGATTATGGTGCCATAGCTATGGGGTAGTTTATTGAATACAAATTAAACAAGAATTAAATATAAAAGATCTTATCTTATGCAAGACATTTTATCATTCAAATCTTTGATGGTATTGAAGTAATCCTTGAGTTTCTCTCATTTATTCATTTTGCTTTAGTGCAATTTTTTTAAATCATCAAAAGTTATAATATGTTACATAATTAAAACTTAATTAATACTTGAGATAGTTGCTCTGCAAGATTGTTTATATTAGCTACCTATTTTAGAAGTTTATTTTTTATCTACAAGATAATAGCTAAATATGCATTAATATTCATCAACTAAAGTTTTACTTTGCTTAGATTCACTTCTCCTATGGATATGAATTAGGTACAATTTTGTTCACATATATTTTCCACAAACCTTCTTTCTTGAACAAGGCTTTCATTTTAATTTTTAACAAGTAAAAATTAACAGCTTCTACTAACTTCTTGGCTTCACCTATCTAATTTTTTTTGTTTTTAAATTATTTAGCAATTTTTAAATCAATCATCTTCTTAATTTTCTTGTGATGTAGAAATTCTAAAATAAACTTTCTTTTTAAGACTATTTTTCTTATTGTAGACATCTAAGCAACCAAAGATCAAAGGCTCACTTAGTTGTGTCATTTTAAATACATAGAGAAGCAATTTTTTATCCTTGACTAACTAGATTTAATGCTAATCTTGTTTTGATACCATGTAGTTTCTAATTGATGATTGTAACCTCTTACATGTTAAACTATATAGCCTAAGGAGCAATGGAAGAAGGTTAAGCCAAAGCAATGCTTGCCAATACAAATATTGTTGACCTAAGGTGACTTAATGGATTAGAATTAAGATTGGGATTATTCATTAGTATAAGTCTCTCTTGTATCAAGAGAGGTCATTACAAGCACCAACATCAAGCACATGGATAAAAACATAAATAAAACCATCAACTTGGAAAATCTATGTTTGTACAAAATCCATGTTAGCCAAAGACACCTATTCAGCTCCGATTCACTCTAAACAATTGAAAAGGTAAAGTAATATAACATATTTAATTGATTCTAAAACATAAGCTTTATAGTTATTTTTCTCACTAGTATTGCTTCATTCAAATGTTACAAACTCAGAAATCGTTTTCCTCTACCTTTAAACAAGGTTTTAGTCCATTTACAAGTCAATGAGCATTTCTTTAAAAAATCATTTATTCCTAATTTTTGTAAACCAACCACTAATTTTGGTAAGAAAAGAAACGATTCATCTTTAGAAAACCAACCTACCTTCAAAGAGTCTCCAATAGAAATTCAACAAGCCACAGTAAATTCTGAACCAAAAGCAGAGCTTAGTCATTCATTAGGTGCAACAGTTATTTAAGTAAAGGCCATGATGTTAAGAGAGAGAAATTGCAGCAGTACCGCAGAAGTGTCTCTCCTTTACTAACGGACAGTGATCCACGACTTATCCCATTGAATACGCTTCAGCCTCGTCGTCGTCGATACCTACCTTTAGTTTAGAACCGGGATCATCCGGGTAAGGGTATGTCCGGGTCGATTTAAGCCCCGTTCCGTGTCTCGAGCGGTGTTTGTGCTGGTTTCTGCCGCAATGCTGCTTGAACCCGTTGTCGAGATTTTTTTGTTTTGTTTTTAGCTCCTCGCCACCTTGGTTGTGATAGCAGGTCTTCGCAATTTCACGCGCGCTAAGGTTTAGATTAGGAATATTTTTCTAGATCCTTTTTTTTTATTTCGATTTTTTTCGATTTTTTTTAGAGATGTTGGTGGAATTTCTGCGTTTGTGCGAGTGTACTTGGCGCACTTGTGGCGTCGGGAGAGAGTGGTGGAGCCCCTTGTGTGCCGAGTTCTTGATTGTAGTTGGTTTCAAATTGTCTGCTTCTGTGTAGCATTTTTCTTTCTATTCTTTTTTCATATATTGATATGGTCTGTATCGGAACACACGTGAAAATGCGAGTAGAAATTGAGTTGACAAAGGAAGTTCAAGAAGGTGTGAAAACTCGAGAGTGGTGTATGACAGCGGTAGTTGAGCAGCGATGGCGAGGAAGCGAAAGGAGAGGACAGAGGATGAGGTGTGGTGAATTTTTGTAAACCTCTGAGGCAACGGGTGTTGAATCGGTGTCATCGATGATTAAGTGCAGTGTGGCAACGACTGGAATGGACTAGCTGCAGGTAGAACAATTCGTGACGGTGAGTGTTCCTGCTCAGTGATCACTTTTCGAAGTTTGCGGTCTGAAGTTAGTTCATCGCGACTGCTTAGAATGTGGTTGTGGTAGGAGACGACATTCGATATTTCAATAGAAAGTCTTTACAGTCCTCGGAAATATGCTTTTTCTGAACAAAAGGCTTTTCAATCTGTTTGTTTGTAGAGACCCGTGTGATGATGGATATGTAAACCCTTTTAGCTTCTAACTTAGGATTGGACGTAAGTTATCAGTAAGAGGGATTTGATCGCCACTTTTTGTGCGACCTCACAAACTCTCTTGATTATACTTTTTTTTTTTTGTTTGTTTTTCTGGAGATATTAAGAGCAGCGATCTAGTGCTATCATTCCGCGTCTCTCTGCTTGTCTGTATTACTTGCGGAGAGTCGGAACATGTTGCCGGAGTACTTCCTGCATTCGCGGAGAGCGATCTTGGATAGTATCAAGTTCTGTAAAATCATTGAAATTCTTGGACTCTTTGAGAGGGCGTGGAAGACATTTATCATTTCTCCTCTCAGATGTGCGCAAACTACATCGTGATCGTGGGATGTTGCGGAGAGGATTTCCTTTATGGCTACGGGCTCAAAAACAGATGTACTTCAGCTAGATTCTATTGTTGGCGAAATACTTAAAGCTAATCAGTTTGATGGAACCCTCTACTGGACGAAGCATTGGAACAGGAAAAATCTAGGAAGTCGGTGCTTTGATGTTGAGATGAGGTGGAAATGTTTGATGGTAATAACTTGCTGAGGTCGGCCAGTCCCTGCAGACTCTTAGGCCTTGATCGGCGCACCGATATTACAGATCAAATGTAAGTCTCAACTCTTCTCCTATAAATTGATTCCTTCACTTAACTTGAGGAAAATTAAATCACATCTGCAGAATCTCTTTCGCGTTCGGTGCTCAAATTAAGAGAGAAGAAAGACACATAATATCTAGATATGTACACGTGTCATGTTTGAATTCAATTTATGAAGCGGTAGTATTACCAAATCCTGGTTTGAGCATTGAGCTAAGCAATAACAAAGCTAGGCACTTTTAACATTTTACTGGACAATTCCACATTCGAAGCCAAGAAAAATGTTCGAATTTAGTAATATCATGCACTACGCATAATCTAAGTGGTTGGAATATGACAGAGTGCAAAGGTTTCTTCAACAATTGCAATTTCTCCCAAGCAATGTCTCGGTACTCAAGATTACCAACAGTAGGTTCTGGCACCTCAGAGGAAAGAGTTCGTTACACGCCATCGAACTCGGCTCAGGCAACCTTCAAGCTGGAAGGTGTTCGAGAGAAAAAGTCTTGCCACAGCACAGGGAATGGAAACATCTACAACGGTGTTCCCCGGCACCGAAGAGGAAATTCTGCATCAGGCATATCTGTCAAAAGACTTCGGGAGGGTCAATTGATGGACAAGCATTCCGCTGATGTGTCTATGCCTGAGCACTTCTTGGGAACGGCATTGGAGGACTTGGATGACATTGAAAGGCAGACGTGGCAAAAGCATTGGGCTGATGCACTGATGAAGGTGCAGTCTCTTCGCCATTCAGGTGCAGGCACACGAAGTGAACGATGGTATGGCATCGGGACTGACATTTATAGGTCAGCACCTGTGACAAGTCTAGATGCACATCTCACATCCAGTGCGAGAAAGAGCAATGCCCACGCGGCTTCCTTGAATTATTGGAATTATTATCCTGGGCCGTCGGTACATAGAGAGATCCCTACGTCGCAGATAGATACCACGATTGAAGGAAATGACACTGTTGATTTTGATGCGCGGAAAAACTCATTGGTTGATGGAGCGGTGCCGAAAAGAGATGGAAAAAAAAATCGTGGGGGCACCCCAGGTCGAGGCGCAAAGACTGTGACAAAAACGGAAAATGCGGATTCTCCTTTGGAAACATTGAAGCGAAGTATTCTCAGCGACAATGGGTATGAAGTCCGACAAGGAAGAGCTTCTATCGACCATGTTCCTGAAAATTGTATTCCGCAGGTCAAGAACAAGGCATCAAACACTGGGTGCAGTTCAAACTCTACTTCTTTCAAACAATTTAGCGATTCGCAGATTCCCAAGTTACACTCTGCACTGGGAGGCCGAGTGCAGCGAACGCAATCACACAGATACGGCCGCTTATCAGGCCAGAAACCTGACCCTAGTCCCCTATTTGATGTGATTGACAACAATTCCGGCACCCATCAAAATGAAACGGCACCAAACTCAATGCTGAAAAAGGCCATCTCGATGCGAGAGGGTGGTGCACACGCAGACGCTGTGATGGAGATGGCACAGGTTTACGCAGACAGTATGTGTGGAGTGCCAAAAACGCTGGACTGTGCTTCATGCGGCCGAAATTTGGGGATCATTGTGCAGGGCAACCCTGGAGTTGACTTAGCGTTCTGTCAAGCCTGTCGACCAACGTCTTCACAATGGAAGAAGCCGATCTTAGACAACGCTGCAGGGTTCAAGAAAAAGAAGAACGGGATAATGCAATTTTGTAGGAAAATGCTACGCTTAGAGCAAAAATCAATTTAAGGCAGATTGCTTATGAGACATATCAGCATCGACAGATCCGTTTCTTTTCGCCTTGGAAAACTGTAAACTTTCAAGAGCTTGTCTTCATTCTTACGTTGCACAGATGACCATGACACCAACCTAGCTCAAAGTAAGTCTTAATTGCCATTTGTGGTAGTCTTATGACTTCACATTCATTACAACTACGTTCGTGCAGGTACTTTGGTGTGGCAGTTATTCCTCGTGGTTACAGCTGAAGGATTAAAGTGGTGATCCCAATGTGCCAGGAAACACAAGTAGATTGTGAGCAAGTACTTGTGAAGTGTACTATAAAGCAGCATACAGAATCTGAACCGTATTTGAGGTATGTCTCTTAATGTAACTTATAAACAGTACTCATGCATCATTGTCCACCTACATGTTTGTACTGTATGCAGTTGGAGTGTTTCCGAAAGGTCCTGTTTACACCACAATAAGATGGACTGTTCATGGTATTTTAATTATTGTCATGGCATTCTCCCAAGGAATGCTTCACATTGTCTTCCTTAGGTGAGCAATAAGCCACCTTATCTGATTCTAACCTGTAACAATCTATTTCGTGCTCAGTCTTCTCGTGTCGTTGGCAAGGATCCATGAAGGGATCTTCAACTTATTCTGATTGTGGAACCTCACAATTTGCAGCAATATGTTTCATTGTAAATCTTTTTTAAGTTAATGCATCATGTAGAGCACTTGGAAATTCTAATCTTAAATATTAATTATATCTGTATAAAAAAGTTAACAATAAATAAATAAATAATATTCAATTTATCAAATATTTATCACCAATTATGAATGTGTCGAAAGCATTACTAATGGATGTTTATCTTGACTGTACATGAACAAATCCAATTTTATCCACCAATTTAATATTACAAGAAAATTTATGTCACATAAATATTGCTGAGAAACGTAGGATTCAGGAACCGTCATCAAAATTCAATGCCTATCGTGAAAGTAGGAGCTACATAACAGGACTTGGAGAACCCATGATTAACTCCAAAACTTGCTTTAGGAGCAAAAGTGGGAATTGCTATTGGAGCAACACTACAAGTTCAAGATTTTAATAAGCACATGAATGTAGGGATTGGAGGACATCTTTAGGCATGAGTCCAAGTAAAACAACCCCAAGTGCAAACTTTGGTAACAATAAGAGATATTGTAATTTTTTATATAGTAAAATCTTTAAGTGGAGAAGTTCCCCATGATACTGTCAAAATGTTACTTCTAATTGGACTTAATAAATCCTTTTTTATTTCCCAACACCGACCATACACAACCAAAGTGCCTTTCTATCATGTCAAATTTTGAGTTGTCATCTTGCAAGCCCTGTTTAAAAGTCTCATTCAAAATATGTCTCACCTAGAAGACACAGATGACAGTCTTCCAAGAAGATTTTCCTGACAATGTAATGATCCCTAGGAACATCAATCATCAAGAAATATCCCCAACCCGATGCAAAGAAAGTTCACATATTGCTAAAATATTCAAAACAAAAATATCAGGCAATAGCACACTATTTGCGAAGGGCATTTCACACTAATGGCAGTGAGGAGCTGCAAAATACTCTTGCTCTGAGAAGACTGCATGTAACAGTACAATGAAGTGCTCGAAGATTTGAGCAAACCTTATAATACATGATTCAATCTGTCCTAGATGAGAAGAAGCTACTACTCCTACCTGCTGCTACCAACTTCAAACACATGTTGGAAAGCAGCCCTGTCTGCTGCGTGGACAAATCTTCAGAATGAACCATACTAATCTGGAACTTCTCAGGATGTTCAAGGGCAAGGAGTGAAGTCTCCATTCGAAAGATGACAAATGAGTCTAAAATTGCCCAAGCAGAGTGCTGATGGGCACTGAGAACAGTGCACTGTACAAATTTTTAACCTCCCGAAAGCTAATTTCCTCACGAGAACGCTGGTGAGAATATGAAAAGCTACATCATCCCTCGGATGTAGAAATGTGGCCTACATCACACCAAGTCGCTTGGTGCCGCATTCTGAGCAGAACTTCGACGTCTCCCGAATGTACGCCGAACCGCATTCGTCGCAATACTTCGAAGGGCCTGTCGCCTGATGCTGATCCATGATAAAGGTGTCACAATGTAGTTCTCACAATCTGAACCATATTACATAGAAGCTTTTCCATATTCTAGCAATGTTTATGAAACAACTAAAGCAAGGTAACCAGTTGCAAACTACGGAACAAGGTATAATAGGAGCCAACCACAAATTGTTCAAACCCACCTGAACGACCGAGCCATGCATTCCGGGTGCATCCAAATCTCGTGGCACATGAGGCGGCGTATGTACTGTATGCTGTGTAAGCTGTTGATGTTGAACGTGTGGAGAATGTTGATGCTGCTGATGTTGCAGTTGATGTTGTTGCTGAAGCTGTTCAAATGCCCATGATGACACCTATTCAGTATCATACGTTTCAACTTCTCAACAAAGGCCTTCAACAACAGTAATTTTACCACAGAGAGCTACTAGCTGTAAGAAAGGTTCAATCGACTGAACATAAAAGCATGGATAAAAACAAAACAATGCTGCTCCCAAAAATTCCAAGCAGCAACTCAGGGACTTTCGGTCCAATGCCAAATGTAAAGACTATAGAAATGCACAGCGATCAACATTCATATGGTTACCATTAACTACCACTTACCACGTGCGGTGGTAAAACTCCAGGATCTCTAGCCGGATAGGGCTGACACTCCATCCCATGGGTTTCAAATCCCTGCCACAAGATGATTCAGCATCAACAAACAAGTCCATTTATTGTCCATGCAGTTCACGTCGTACAAATTTTTTCTTTTCTAAAAGGTTGCTCCTAGTCTTAGAGAAGAAGGATCTATATCTTCCTTGAACCCAATCAAATGCAGATTCACACTGCTGTATCAATACTAACTGGTTTAATGAGTTTGTCTGGTCTTACCTGCTGACGTAATGTGGGAGAGGACAAAGTCGTTGGAGGCTCATTACCTGGATAAGGCTGTAGAGCAACATACACCACCAATTCACGGTAAGGATACTACATTCTACATGTAAAAGTACACCATGGACACAATCCTTGAACACAGAGACAGCTACACCATCGGCGATATCTCACAATGTTGCTTCACTATAAACAAAACAAGTGGCTGAAATAGATCGCAGATGCTTCTAAAAGTCGTATCCAAACAACATACCTGTAGCAGTGTCATAGACGACAAAGTATGGTGAGGAGCACGGCGGTGCTTCACTCTGGCAGCAAAATACTTGTAATCCGACTCATAAATCTGTGCTTCGTGCCTTCCTGTCAATCTCTTGAACCTGCAGCCATGCCGTTTCAAGCGGTTTGGTTAAATCCTCTAAAATGGACGCACCTGATGAGGATGTTAACCTGGAGCAACTGTGTTGCAAGACACATAACTGATGAGAACGCTGAACGCGTACAGCCCAGAGCATCACTCGCTAAACTTCGCTGCTGTGTCAAGAATGCTCACCATTCTGCATCTTCCGGGGATAGATTAGGTCGCTCCACCAGCTCTAAACCATGCACGACAACAAAACGCACGCGCTTCTCCTCGCCAGTCACTAACTGAGGAAATTTTGTGCGGGCCTCCAACGCAGATGCCATCTCGCGCCTCTTAAAGGTCATTGTCGCTCCTGCAGTCACACCCAAAATCTACATTAATGCCCAAATTGAACTAATGAAATTCATTTAGGATCCGACATCTCCACGTCAACGACCGACGCCACAACGTTAAGCCCGAAATCGTGCAACCATCAACTAGTTCCAGTTCAGACTGCTTGGTTGTAGACTCTGGGTGATCCCAACAAACCTACGGTTAAGCAGAGGAATAGAGAGGAAAGTCATACCGACGGCACCATTTCCAACTCTACATGTGTTTGGGGATGTAGGGAAGCAGTTTGATCCCTGCATTGACTCCTCGGACTCTGTATCATACAGGGTCAAATTAGAGAACAGGCGTCAAATCAACGACCTATGATACAGAGAACGATTCGTCCATATAGAGCCACCACCACACAAGCAGGGTGCTTCACTATCAAATCCAGCTCCCCATGAATACGCAACCTCTATGACAGCCATCAGGACAAGAAGATTGTGATGGCCTTTGGATGTATAGTTGATTTTCAGTATCGGATCTATATAAAAACTGCTATCTTGCTAAGTTTCTCCATTTCGACTCTTCCTCACGTAGTAAATATTCCCCTGAATCGGCCTCTTCAACCACCGACGCTTTATCGTTTTCCCTTAAGTTAGCCCTACGCTCCCTGAGGTAGAAAAAGTTATGCTACGAGACTACAGACGGCCTAGCGAAGTTTGCTTTGGGTAGTTTAGGAGGAGAGCTACTGCAAATCCTGGTAATAGGCGAGAAGTCGGGTCTCTTTTCCGGGTGCAAATGATCACCAAGCCTTAAAATTCTAGAAAATGAGAAAAAGTAGACAAAGAAACGCAGTCGATTTGCCGAAGAGCTGAAACATGACCCAAGAGGTTCAAAAATACGCGATTCTTCAAAGGACTCGCAAGTTTGCCCTCAAATCGCTCTCAAAACCATGGCCCATGTACAGCACGACATGCTTCACCGTAAACATCCAGCTAGAGTACCTAGCTAACAAGGTTCACGCATTCTCACAATCAAAACAAATGTGCGACTTCATTCGGCCAAAGGCATAATCTCAAATGAATCCATGTGAGTGCGAGTGCCACATACATAAAATGCATACTGCTTTGCGAGTAAGGGGAATACCTGATTTGGGAAACTTCTTCACGAGTCTCCTGTACAGTCCACCAGCAGCTTCAAGTGCCACTCCAAAAGTTTTCTCTTGGAGGCCCTCAATAGTTGCCAATCGCTGATTTATTTCGCGAATCAATGTTTCATACAGATTGGCCACGAAGGTCAAAGGTAGCAAGTATCGAGGGTCACCTTCGTATTGAACATCTCTCGACTTTCGCTTCTTCGATTTATCCTTCCCATTTGGACTGTAAGAGTTACCTTCAGGTGCCTCCGTGGCCGGAACAACATGATACCTTATGAAGTAGTCAATGATGAGCTGCAAGAAGCGAGCTCTTGTTGATTCGATGGGAATGACGTCTGTTCATATCAACTAAAAGTGTTAATACATCTCACAAACATAATACAGGACATATATATTGTGTAGTAACCCCAATAGTGTTGATTGGGGTAATGTGAGATAGCAATCTGCCTACTGAAGGAGAAGACTAACAGACCAAGAGCCAACGCCATTGTAACCCTAACCTAACGCGTGGAAATCGAAGAGAAAAACAAGTTTCACATCTCAGCTAGTGCAATCCAGACTAGAATATGAAGCAACCAACACCAAGACAGGTAGCATTGTGTAAAATACATTAGAGGCGAATTTAGCAAGTCTGACCGTTTAGTGTGAGCACACCATAAGGTGAACGCGATCCTTCATTGTCCATAGTCAAAGATTGCTCCAAATTCTGTCCTGTTCTTTGCAGGGCAAGGTTGCCATAGTCCTGCAGTCCACAATCTTAAGTTCAATATATCACAAGACTTACCGAAAGCGGGCTAAATACAATAAAAGCTCTTGGTGAATCTCAGAAATACAGCAAGTAAAGACACCGATCTAGCTAATACATGAATATACACAATAAAAAAAATAAAACGCAACGCGCGTGACTTGAGACGGGGGAAAAAATAATAATAATAATAATAATAATAAATAATAAAAATAAAAAATTGGAAGGTTAGAGAAGGGAAATACCCCGTTGGACGTAGAATCATCGTCGTTGTCCAGTTCATCACCAGTCGGGGCATCCCGGTCGGTGTCCGTTATCCCATCAATCTCAGGGTTTCTGGAATCAATCGTATTCAAGTCGTGAAGAGCATTCCCTACTAAAGTCTCCCCGTTCAGGTTATAGTGACCCTGAGGGCCCAACTTCATCTTTTCTAGGGTTTCTCTCACTAGGCTACATAACCACACGTCAAACTCCAGCAGCACTCGACACAACAACAGTTCCCCGAATTATCACCCTAATGAGCATTGTGGCTGACTGCAGTCGCCTTCACTACATCAAACGCAACACCTGCTCTAGCACATAATCCCTGTCCGCCACCGGAGACAAAATCGCCACACCCGATTTCCTCCCTCCCTCGTAAAATTCGAAAATCCGATGACTCGCAATCCTAGCTCCAGGAGTTTTCATCGACTTGCGAGACACGGCAAAGAGCTGCTCGACCCTCTCGCAAAATATCCATTCATTCGCACACCTACACTCTACTCTACGCTCGCTCGCTGCGTGTGCAGAATATGCATTCGCCGCAGCAGAGCTCCCCTTTCCAGAGAGTGAGGGAGCAACGCGAAGTGAGCAAGCCACCAAGGATGACTCTCCAGCAACTCGGTGGAGAGTCACACCTCTGTTCGTTTTCAGTATTTGGATGACATTCATTCTCCCGCGTGGTATGTCCGGTTCTCAATCCAGTCATGTGCGATTGAGATTGATGCCCTGGTAGCTGGCGGTCCAGTCGCTGGTTCTTGCGTTATGCCGGGTATCTTTATTTTGTGGGAACTCTTTGGCTTTTTATTTTATTTTTATTTTATTTTTTGTAATTTCTTGGGTTTGTACTTTTGATTTTAAGTGCATTGATGAGGAGTGGAGAAATTTTGTACACAATTATGTTTTAGAACTTTAGGGTGAATTTGTAAATTAAAATCATGGAAATAGTTTAATGGATGTTTGGTCATGTATACTATTTTGTGAATCAAAGTTTATTGGAATAGATCCCCAATTCATATCCTGAGGCTTCAAATATTTCAATTTTATTGGGTTTATAATGAATAGAAGAAAAAATAAAATTAATGTGATAATTATAGGAACTGCTTCGTGTAAACAATGAAGTTGCTGTTTGTAGAACATAAATTGCAAAGGTAATATTTCAGAAGACTACAAAACTCAATTGTGGTAAAAAGATGAAGAAGCTCTACCCAAAGTGAAGATGACTATTTTAAGAATCTAACAAGAGGAGGAAAAGTTTTTGTAAATTTGAAAAAATAGCCATTTTACGGATTTTAGAAATGAAGTAGATGGACAATCATATAAATGAATAATTAGTTGGCAGCATTGATAGATTCAAAATCTAATTAGTATTGTAAATTTAGGTATATTTGTGAAAGATTGAAAATAAACTTCCTTACAATATAATATTTAATAATGTTAGTAGATAGGAAAGGAAACATTTACATACATATGAATGTATATCATAATTTAGAATACACAAAATATGTTATTTTGTTCCATTTTCATGTTTTCCATCTTTGTTTCCTTTGAAAACGTCATCTATATTATTCAAATATTTACTACCAACGTAAAGAACTGGATTTTTTTTGTTTTGTTAAGCTATTAATTCATTCAAATCAGTCTCAAATTGTTGACACAGGATGAGAAGTATTCAAATTATCCTTGTGTTTTGTTGCTAAATTTTTGCTTTTAAAACTGTTTTAGTAGTAGCCATATATATTCTTGATGTTTTAATTTTTTCACACAGACACTTATATACACATATAAATTATGTTAAAAGATCAGTAATTCTTGATTGAATGTCATGACTTGTTAAAGTACAGTAGCATTTTAAAAAAAATACAATCCTGATGACATTTAACAATACTAATTAGATTTTGAATCTAGCAATGCTTCCAACTAAAGCTTGTTATCCCTCTCTTAAATGTTAATATGTGCTGGCACATTTTGTCTACCACAAATGCATTTAATAAGAATTGAATCCAATGAAGTGTTTTAGAGATGTGGAGCAAACTATTAAAATCATCACATCAATTACTATTGGCAGAACGTCAAAATCATGTCTCTTTCCACGATTTACTGAGGGACATTCAGGAACAAGAACGGAGAACAGTACACCATCAATTTTATTATTGGGGTGTACTTTCGCTCCCATGAATAAAAAAGATGGTGTGATGAATATTTCTCCATGATATATGTTTTGACCATTAGACATGGACCTCAATCACCACAGCTTTTACAGGGTGGATTCAAGGGGCACCAATAAATGATCTAAGCTCCCACCCAGGGAGCTTAGACACATTACAGGGCCACACCCACTATTTCTCAACACTAGCATTCCATAAAGTGGTATCAGTTTTAAAAATCTACAAAGAATGGATCTCACACCTCCACTCACTTTAAGTCAAGGCTGGGCACACTACAAAGCTTTTCGACCTTTCATCTACTCATATCAGAAACAGAAACAAGAGCCTGATCACACAACAGTTAATCTCAGAGAATGGTGGTTGGGCCTTACAGGCATTCTCTTCAACCCTTTACAAAATGGACGTATTAGTCAGCCCTCCGGAAGGGTAATGCAAGTTCTGTGTGGGTCACAAGTTGGGTATGTGGTGCAGCACCATAGTGACCAACTTGTTCCACTCAGGGAGTTCCTTTTCAGCTTCGCTTCACACATCTTCAGTTTGTGGTGATCGATGTCACGAATGGTTCATTCTAGAAAGATCATCACTGCAACTGACAAGCTTCAGGGATCTACATTTTGAAGATGACAAGGGACATGCAATTACATGAAGGATTTGCTCAAGAAGCATGCAATATCGACAGCGTCAGATGCTGGCTCCGAAGTACAAGTCAAAGTTCTCGGATCAAACAAGAGAATATCATAGACAAGAACTCCTTCAGTCACATTTGAACGTCAAGTTTTATTGCAACTGAAGTAATCAAAAGTACATTGTCCTCGAATGTCAAGTTTCACATCGTGAAACGAAAGAATCTGTACAGTGATTCAGGGCCGCGTTCTTTCACTGGAGCTCCTTTAAGAAATTCAATCTCTACACAACTGGGCCTCTGCATGGCAATTGCGCTGCTCCATCTTCCGCGGATCCAAAGCCCACATGCGCGGCACTTCCAGGTTTTCTGAAGCCCATACAATGCCGGAACTCCACACTCAAACAACCTCGACACGTTAAGTTCCTTTGAAACAACTGCTGTCCTGCTACACGTAGTGTCGAACACTCAGCGACAGTTTCATGAGAACACAGAGCTGTACCAGTGTGGATTTAGAACCATATACATGCACCATTACGTCCTCCTTGAATAGCAATGGTAACAACCGCACTTACGAGAATAGTGAGTGTACATCCACTGCAATCCAAGCCTCCCATTTGGCGACGGAAGCTCGCTCAAGCGCATTACACCTTCCCAGCAGCTCCATGGCGATGGCTACCTCAATCGGTCAACAACACAAACGAGATATAACATCAATGTACATGATTGCCTGATCAATCTGAACTGGCATAGTCAGAACAAGCGTCGTCATGCTCATCAACGACACTGAAACAAGAACCACTTCTCTGAAATCTTAGCCTAAGTTCGTTAGCTTCTTGATGCGCCAAAAAGAGTCGCTCCTTCAATGTTAAGTTCTCATCCTCCAAATACGCTATGTGGCTCTCCTGCTCTGCAAGCCGGGCCTCCATAAGCTGTCTCCTGCGACCGAGGCCATTCCCTGGAGGCAAAGTCATTTCAAAACGGCTGACATCATGGTCCAGTTGCTGCTCTACTTGCTGAACTGAATGGGGACGAGATTGCAAATCACCTGGACTGAGTCTATGGCTACTGGTGAGCGTAGGTTCATCAGGACGTGATCTAAGGCGAATAAGACCTTCCATAGATCCATAGCCATAATCTTTGACATCCGCCTCGACATCATTGTTAGAACGGCTACTGACATGCGAAGGTTCATCAGAGCCTGCTTTAAGGTGAATAAGACCTTCCATCGAACCATAGCCATAATCTTCAGGAAATCCCTCGGGACCCTCTCTGAACTGAAACTGAGGAGCAGGGGAAGCAAACACAGGGGTGGACACAAAAGCGGGAGTAGCAGGAGTGGCAGGGGAAGGGGAAGAGGCCAGGCCTCCCGACTGACGAACTCTCATCAAGTAGGAGCTGTCGTTGAATGGTGCCCTTGGAGGAACCCGTGCGACGCTCTTTCTCCGCTTCGGGAAATGCTTGCACGTTCTGATTTTGTTAAGACGCTGCAACTCCGACAGCCTCAGGGGATCGTAGCTTCTGCCTGTTGCAGAAACCCCGCCCCCGCGATGTGACGTCTTGTTCCTCTTCCGGGGACGTAAGTTTTGGCCGCTACTTCTCCACTGCCGTTTCTGAGGAACTGAAAACTCTCTGAAAACTCCATAACCGGACTGCTGACCAGCAAGAAACACGGCGGAGTCCATTTTACAAAAACTTCCGAGAAAGACGGCTTCAACACAATGTCTAGTTCTCAAACACAAGAACTTAGGTACGAGCTCTAGTGCTCCAACGAAACACTAAATCAAACCAGTAGGTCGAGACACTTCCAAGGCTTGGCCGTCAGCACTTCCAAAAGCGTGGTACACTTCAGCTGCCACCCCTCCCTTGACAAGGCCAAACAGATGCACCGTCCCGAGCACAAAATCCCGCCCAAGGCACCGTGTGGATCTGTACGCCTCTGCCAAACAAAAACAGTCCCCCAGTGAACCGGACTAAAGCAGAGCGCTGGCACGGAAAACGCACGCCAAGAGCGACAAAGCGAGGCAATCAGGGGTTCCAAGATAGCAGTAGGCTGAGCCTCAGATGGGCCTTGACATGTTCGAGAGAATTAAAAACTCCAAGCGAATTAAAAACTCCAAATCGTCCAACAATCACACCCCACAGCACCGGGCGTGTCTTGATCCTTCCACTCGTTCTTCCAAAAACCAAGTAACTCAACACTCCGCAACTATGGCGGTTTCTGCGCCACTCAAGCGCTTTGATCCTTCCACTTAATCCCTTCCAGAAACTATCTACACAACCTCAATTGCACATAAGAGAAAGCCTCAAATGCTCGCTTCAGAAGTCAGGCGTGTTGCAACGCGGCTCGAGAGAGAAATGAATGCCACGAGATCTCGGCTGGGAGCGAAGAAGAGGAGGCGGTGGGTGGCTCTGCATGCTGCAGGACCCGCCGAAATTCACTCTACGGGACCGCAAGATCAGAAACTGTACCCTCCACAGACATTACACTACTTCATGTACCCTTTAATAAGATTTGAGATACATAGGCCATCTACGGATGAACCACCCCTCGCAACGGGCAGTTCTGACACGACACCAGGGATAGATGAATAAATATGAAATTCATCCATCATTGACACTTCATGTATCCGTATTTCATCCATCCAGGCGAGTCTTTTTCAAGGGGCTTCCGTGTTCTCGTGTGTGCAACAAGTTCGCGCGGCGTTCCCCTGTCCCAATATAACGGCGGGCCTGTGTCCTGTTTCGGTGGCCAGTTGCCATTTTAAGACGAGGAGGATTTATAGGCTTGTCCATTATGGAGGATGCCTCCGCCTCGTTTAGTTTAGTTTTTTTTCGTTCAGTTTCTATGGCGTCGCTCCACGCGTGAACAGTTTTGCATCTCTTTATTGCATGCATCGTGTACCGCTTTTGCACAGAGGAAAAAAAAAAAAGTCTCGACGCATGGACCAATGAGTTGCTCAGGTCTTTTGACTTGTCTTCCGTTGCTGGCCGATGCGCGAGACTCGTAACCTGAATAATTTTAAGAACTCGGAGATGAGGTGAGCGGAAGGAGTCAAACACGGAGGATCGCCGTGGGAAGGTAAATTGCGACCTGATTTGCGAGATGGAGAGAATTATTGCATTGCAGCATTTTAATGGTGAGCTTCTTGTGCTTTGAAACAACTGCTGTAGTTTGTTATATGCAAACAATTCAATTGTATGCGTGATATTAGTTTGGACAGAGTATGACATAGAAGAGAAGTTGAGAATGGTAATATTACTTTGTTGAGAAGTATGTATTTGTGTTTGTTTTGCACGGCTAGATACTTATTGGTTTAGTTTGTGGATGATTCTTTTATGTAGCTTTATAATTGTTTTTGAGGTGTTTTGAATGAGTCTTAGAAGAACTCCAATGGTATTGGATTCTGCTAGTACTTTGAAATTGCTGTTTGTAAGATTAGATATGTCTTTTTTAACGATATAATACATCCATGTTAGAATTTCGAATGTATTTACCACGGATCTCGAAAATTTTGATTTGTAAAATATTCGATTTAAGATGAAACTGATTGTAAAATTTACAAATCAAAATAAAAGATGAAACAATGATTGTAAAATTTCAAAGACTTTGTTCTATTCTCTATTCTAAAACTAATTTAATGCATAAAACAGTCAAACATTAGACAAACATTTCTCCATTGTTGCTAAAGTACTTTTCATGAAGTTTTCTTTTAACTTGTTTATTTTTATTATATTGACCAAAATAACCAGAAAACTAAAATAAATGATTAACAAATTCATGGATTTAAATGAAGTTTGATACCAGAAACAAAAAAATAAAAATAAAGATAAAATAATAATTTCAATAGTTGCAACTTTGATTATATATAAAACAAATCATTATCACTATTGCTAAAATTTAATAATTGTTTTGGTCTCTTTTCTTACGAAAACATTTTTTATGATGACAAATTTACTGTACATTTGTATGCATTTCGAAAGACAGTTCAATTCAAATTTTTCTTAACATTAATCGTAATAGTAAACTAAACTCTAGATTTTCCAAAAAATTAAAGATATCAATCACAAATTTGGTATCAATACTACTGTAAATGAAATGAAACATCCAAAAATACTTTAATATTTACAAGTAAACTTACATGATGATAATTTTAGTTTCTTTTTAAGTTTTATATCTTTTTTTATATATATATTTTTTGTTATTTGTTGTTTGTGGTCTTTATAATTTATTTATATGATATTATTAGTTGAAATGTTTCTTTGAAGTTATATAAATATGTATATATATATATATATATATATATATATTAATTTTGTATTACAACCATTGGCAATATTAATTGATTAGTTTATTTAATTAAAAAAAACATATTTTAAGGTTTTCCTATAATATTTTGGAATTATCATCTCCTCTGATAATTAATTCCTTGAACACTAATAATTTTTTAATAATTGATAACCAACTTTATTTTATATTGCATAACTAATAATCTCATACATCTAATAGTTTAATTAATTTTATTGAATTTTATTAATTAATGGAGGTAAATATTTATACAATCTAGCTACACATATAGATGTGCATTTGTCATAAGAGGGATAGAGAGAAAAAAAAATAGTAAATTAAGGATGGGTGGATTTAATGAGTAAAAGATTGAATTATTGAATTGATACATTTTTATAGAGAATATGGTTGTCTTTTTATACTTTTTACTTGAGACCTAGTAGTGGATATCTCCTTGCTAAAAACTAATAATTCTTTTTAACCATAAGTCAAAACTAAGCAATTTATTTTCTAATATTTGATAAATTATAATAACTTATATATGTTTTTTGCAATTGATGATCTTTATTAGTACTGAAAAAAGTATTTGTTACAAACATTCAACAAGAAGATTTTTGAAATATTCTATTATGAGGTTCTAGAAGATTTTAAAAATATTCTAATTAAAGATTCTAGAAATAATTTAAGAATATTCTAGCATATTCTAAAAATTTATGAAAAAATTAAGGAAGTTGTCCAAAAAGCTTTTTAAGGTTGATTTATCTTCAAGCAACATGGAAACTTCTTAAGAAGCTTTCTGAAGTTCATAACAATGTTGAAAAAACTAAAGTAAATTTACATCTACTAAAAAAATAATTTCTTGGATTTATAAAATTATTTTATTTAAAAAAATTTAATTATGATATACAAAAAAATTTAGTATTTTTCTTAATAAAAATTTTGATGTTACTTATAATTAATGAAGATTTAAGAAAACTCTTAAATAAAAAAATTTAAGAATTTATTATAAAGACTAAAAGATGATTGAATTATTTTCAATTTATTTATTTTATTAATTTAAGTTTACTGTATTGAAAAAAATAAGTACAAATAAATAAAGAAATAAAAAATAAGCACGTATATTTATTTAAAATATAAAAATATTTTTAAATGTTTTATATTTTTATTTTAAAGTATATTTCAAACTTAGTAATCATAGTGATGAAAGGATTTACTTATTAAAAAAACATCAAAGATTAAGATATTGATATTTTTACACGTCTAAAATCATTGTGAAAGTTGGTTTAAAAATGTTATATTTTTTTTAAATTAATACTATTTTAATTTCTAAAAATATATTTTATATCTGAAAATTTATCCATAGAATTAATAAACAACATGAAAAAATAATTTAAAATTTAAAATCAAAAGAAATAATAAATCTATAATTATTTTATTATTTTATTTTTAAGTTTAAGTTTTATTACAAAAAAAAATTGTAATTTGGTTTATGTAAGAAAATCATCCTTATAGATATTTTCAATTTTATAAAAAAATTATATTTGTAAAAAATGCATCTATTAATTTCTTATTTAAGTAATTATTTTTCATTTAATTTATTTTTTTTTGGTTAATTTTTACCTAATTTGATTAGTATTCATACAATACTTTTTGTATTAATTAGATTTTTCTCACTTTATTTGGTTTTATTTCTCTTCACTCTTACTAGATAATTGCATAAAATGCAACAAATAGTTAGACATGCTTTAAATAATTTTAAAAATAAAAAGTAAATGAAATTATAAAGATGTTACCAGTAAAATATTTGACCATGAATGATATTGTGTAAAGAATTATAAATAAACATAAATAATGTAAATGTAATAAATTTGTGTTAAAAATATATATACATAGAAGCATGTAGAAAATAAAAATACATAGCATGCATACTTGGCATCTATTATAATTTTAGTTTCATTTCAAAAGTAAATTAAAATTAATTTTTTTTTATATTATTTTATGTTTAATTTTTCTGGAAGTAATATAAATGATATTTTAATATTTAAAATACATAAATATATATTCTTTTAGAAATAAAGTAAATTTTTTATGCAAATTATTTATTACGGTTTAAATTGTTTTTGAAAAAACCTTTATATTTATACTTTTGCCTAAACTTAGTGTATATTTAAAATCATTTCATTTTATTTAATTATAAAAATTTGCTTAATTTTTTTTATTATAACTTAAGCTTTTCATTAATATACTTAAGAAAACTAATAGTAGTATATTTTACTAAATTTAAAATTATAAAAATATTTTTAATACTTTATTTTCTTATATTACATCTATTTTTTAACATTGGTATTACAAACTTAAATTTAATCAAGTGATAAAAAAATCAAAAATAAAAACATATATTGACCAAAAATTATGTTTTCGAAAATTGTATCAATTTTTCAATATATATATATATATATATATATATATATATATATATATATGATAATAAATTTAATTTATTAAATTTAATTACTAATAAATTGATAAAATTATTAAAAATTATGAAAATTGTATAAATTGATATTATGTTTTTGATAATTGTATTTAGTGTTTTATCACGACTTTGCATACTATGGAACAAAACAAAATCAATTAGTTTAATAGATACCATCTAGTAAAATTTTTATTTATAAATGTATATTATGAAATATTCTAATTAATTCTTACTATGTATATTTTGTTTTTTGGTGCAAAGAGTGCAAAATAATATGATTTTTTTTTTTTGATGTTGTTACGATCAAAGAATAATACATAAAATTGGTTGAATTACAAACCTTGATACAATAAAAGCATAGTATAACTTACTATAAATTATAATTTTCAAATTGATATGTGATTTCAAATCAAATAGTTTTTTCATACTTGACAAGCTTATTATGCTAGAAGCTTGATTTGAAATAAACTATCAGTAGTGAAATTAAATAGTTGAGACTAAACATAAGAAAGATCGTTTTTATTTTATTTTATTTGAATTTGATTATTGATTTAGTTTTAATATGACATTGCATTTAATTTAATAGGAAAAAGATAAAGCATATATTTTAACTGTAATAACAAATATATATATATATATATATATATAATTCTGGAGAAACTAAGCTTCACAGTAGATATTGAATAGGTGTGAAGATGCTTTTCTGTAAAACCATTTTAAAAATCCAACTTTAAAAAAATGTCTTATGGCATCTAAATCGAATAGTCATATATATATATATATATATATATATTCTTTAAATGATGTAATTACATCTCTTTTTCGTAAGTTAATTTGAAGCAATTGATCGATGTTTGTATTAGAGTATTGTTGATAGAACAAAGTTTTAAATAATAACGAAATAAAAAAAGACTGATCTCTTTGTTTGTTCTCTTTGTTTTTGATTTTCTTAATACTTTAACAATATATCAAAATTACTAATTAAGATTTAAAAAATTGATAGAGCATTACTAAAACATAATGGCTTTTAAAGAAAAGAGTAAAAATGAGAGCAAAAAAAGTGACAAATCAGATGGTAATTTTAAGACTTAAAATCTATAATTACATCAAATGAAAATATTATTTAACGCTAATCACTAAATAAATTGAGTATAAATAGAAATACGTAGTAGAATTTTGTGGTGTAATAAATTTCTTTAATCTCCATTCATTTGTGCCATCAAAAAAATTTAAAATTTATATAATAGTCTCGATGTTGATGTATAAAAGAGCCATAAAGAAAGAAAGTTTAATGTTGGATTGTTCATTTCTTTGATGGTCAAACTTTCCAATTCAAAAATAAAACAGAGGTAATTTTCATTGTTCATATTTTTAAACATGTTAGCTGATATCTGCAATAATTAATAGAATTTTATCATTTCTAATTTCATTTCTTATATTGTGTGTTTCTATTTATCGAAATTAACTGAATGGAAAAATAACAAAAGAAATTGAACATCACACTTTTAATTGTGTTCACTCTCGCTTTTATTTTTATAAATTGTATCGGAATAGTATCACATTTTCCTAGAGACTATTTTATCAAGAAAGTTAAAAGCTTGAAGTTCATTTTGAATCAATAATTTTCTATTCTGTTCATAACTCATTCTCTTTACAATGTATTCATTTTTTTATCAATAGGAAAAGAACAAACTTGATGAAGATTTACCAATTCAAGATGCTAAAGACATGCTTGTTGGAGATTATTTGGTAATTCAATTCCAAAATACTATCTATTTTATTTAATATTGACTTAATCTTCATTCATAGATCATTTATTTGCATGTAAGATTTCTTTCTATGATACTTATTTGATGGGAACCAATAGGGAGAATTATTAATACCGCTTCTAAAGGAAGGTTGTCAACTCATTTCAGAAAAGAGGTAATTCTTATAAGTGATTTAAGTAGAATTGAGTAATATATATTTATTAAAAATATGTTTTGAGATAGTATATAAAATTCCTTCAAAACCCCACAAATTGAAGATTTAACTTATTATAAGAAATTATATATATATATATATATATATATATATATATTGGGAAATTTTGATATTTAAATTTCTACATATGAAAATAAATAAATAACTTATACAAATTTTCATGACCACATGAAATAAACGTCAAAAAATTAAAGACCAGATGATCCATTAGAAGAATTAGCTGTATTTCTATTGAGAATGGATCCAAAGAGCCCCAGAAATATTATCAGATTTGCTGAAGAAGCTGAAGCAAAAAAATTAGCAGAGGCCAGCGAATTGGCTCAAATTGAAGAAGAGGAAAAATTATTCAAAAGGAATGAAAAGAAAAAGAAAAAATAGAATCTAAAGACACACAAAAAAAAATAATAATAATAACATGAACACCACCAGTAGTATCTATTTTTCAAAAAAAGATATAAAAAAGATAAAAGACTAAATAAATCAAACATTCAAGTTCAGATTTTCCTTGAAGTTTTGTTATTTTCATAGTGTTTTAATTTTTTTTTCCTTTTATTCTTTCAGAATAATCTCTTCAATCTGGGAATATGTCAAAGAATTGGGTTTTTTTATTGTGAACTTTATATTGAATGTTTTATTTTATATCCATAAATGATTTTTGGAAATTGCGATTGCATACGTGTTTTACATGATAGAGGTTGAGCAACAAGATACTTTGGCCTTGTCAAAATGTAAATTAGATGTGATTATATGTGACTCTAGATTCATTAATTAAACTTTAGTTTGTGCAAATGTTTCACAATCAATTAGAATTTTCTCGCCCTTAAAAAATTGAATGGACTCTAATCTATACTTGGTATTGTTCTTTTTACATGTTTTGTAAAAAAACTATCTATCTCATAAATAAGATATTCGTTAGTGATTCGTGCTACTAATATTAAAAGATATAGTTTACAAGGTCTAATTTGAAATTGAGCATTTTTCAAATCAGTTGTGGTAATTTTGAAATTTTATCTTTGAAATTTTGATAACCCCGTTTAAAACTTTTACTGACATATCTTAAATCATAGTTTTAACTGAATCATTTCTAATACACTAGAAAAGAATGAAATATTTATTTACTTATTTTATTTCATGTACTTATGTGTCAATCAATCCTCAAAATCCTTTCCATTATCCCATTTTCACAATCACAATTACTTTCATTTCATAATTGTTCAAGTTACACATAAAATCAATCTCAAATCCATAACTTTGATGTAAAATCGTGCTCATTTTAAATCCACAACAAAAATCCCAAATTCACCCACAAAAATTTAAATAAAAACAAAAATAAAAATAAACGTAAAGAGAATAATCAGCTCAACGTTGAAACTAACATCAAAACAATCGTTCACCAATTATCAAATTAAATCATTCTGCTTACTTTTAACTTCACCCCAAGTTAGACAATCAATACTTTTCCCTCAAATTATGTTTTTTACAACAAACTTGAAATTTTAGTGTATGTGAACGATTAAAAATTAATTAAATTAAAAAAATATTTACCAAATAAACAACCTAATTCATTAGTTAATCAATTAAGAAATTAATTCAGGAAAACTCGTCCGAGCAATGGACAGAATCCAGAGTACATCCAAAAATTCACCAACACATCCGTCTATTCATCCAAAATTACATTCACCCATCGCGAGAACATTCATCCACGGTTACTGGATTCAGCGGCTGGACAAAAACGAGCGGCGCTCCGCGGTCAACTGGGGGGAGAACGGCGGACCTATGACCACAACCGAGTTTGACTAGTAACTCCAATTATGATCGTAAATACGAAACATATGTCCGTTTCATACATACATACACATGAATACAGGGGACCGTATCCCAAGGAACTGTACGGCTCGATTGCTGCTGCTGCTGCAAGCTCCACCAGAGCGTCGCGTCGCGGCGAGGCACGCACGCATGCTCAAAGCCAAGTAAGTGCTTTTGTTGTTGTTGTTGGGGGGATCAACGCAGCGTGAGTCTCCAGTCAATTAATTAATCAATTATACACCGTGTGCGCCTCCTGCATTGCATTCCTCAGCTGTGCATATCGCTGATCCAAATCCCTCTCTGCCCTTGTGTCGCTTGAAACAGCGGCGTGAGGTCGTGGTGAGCTGAACGGCGGCATTCGGAGCTGAATTATGAAGCGGTTCGCGAGTTGCTGGAGTTGATCCTGTTCTGTAACCCCCTCTTGGAGCAAGTGATTGGCGGATTGCGTCATGAGCGGCGTTTGTGGTCGAGATTGACACGCTGAATAGGTTGGGTTGATTGGGTCAGTCCTTTGGGTGGACGTTTTCGTGCTACGCTTCGCTTCTCTTACTTATGCGAGAGACAGAGCGGTTTCAGAGATTTTACGAGTAGCTTTTGCTGGAGGCAATCTCGTAGGTATTTGCTGTGTCTCACGCTCCTTGGCTATTCTTGCCTTTGCAGTTTTTGAGATTTTTGCTTTGTACAGCAGTGGGTGAGCAGGATTCATTACTTTTCTTAGGTTTTGTGCGGGTGTTGCAAGGTTTGGTATCTATTAGTGAGCATTGGTATCAGTCAGTGCACAGCCTCCACTAACTCGGCGTTGGAGGCGGGTGTGTCGTGGCTATCTAGGTGTGTCGATCTCGTGCTCTCGATCCTCGAATAAGAAGGAAAGGATGAAAGGATGCAACGCAATGAGGATTCGAAGTTGACACGGTTCAGTCACGCAAGTAGACGGCCTCGGTGTCGTCACTATTACACAGACTCTCGGGTGGAATTTGCCTCGAGAGTTCATTTGAGTGCGATTAGCATCTGCTTGACTTTACTTTCGTGCACTTGGATTGCACCTGCAGTCGCGACTTATCCCACCGGTACGAAAAAGCCTCCCTTCTTCATCTCCTCTCTGTGAATGCCGTCCGTAGCGACTAAGAGTTGCCGAAAAACCTCCACAATGATCATCGACAATGATCCGGAACAGCTGTACTCATTTATAAATTGGTGCGAGATGTGCACTTACTTCACCCACATGAGATGGCTGGAGTGGGGCTCAATTAGCTGCAGTTTGCACAGCTTAGACAGTTGGATTAGGTTCACGGTCGAGTCACCGTCGGAACGCTTCTAAGGGGAGTTGAGAGGAGGTTGTACAAATGCAGTTTAACATAGATCTTGTGGAGAATGAGCGAGAGCCCTTCCAAATTTCCATTGCTTTCTCTAGCGACCGAGCATAGGTTAAGATTGTTCTGTAATGCGCGTAGAAAACTATACCCTCTCGAAGTTGGGTCAGCAATGCGCACAACAATGTGCACGCTGGTAGCGTCATAGGCGTCGCACAGTATCTACAGTTACACTTATTCCGCAGTCGATACCCTACACGAGAGTACAGACTAACTAGATATATCAGCACAACGTGCTATCTGCATCCGTTTGCGACTTCTACGTGCCCACGTTCCTAAATTCGTTACTATTTATTTTCGTTGCCGACCGCGAATTGATACGCCTGCTACATCTCCGTCATCGGCCGCTTCGTAAGCTAGCGTTGCGAATAATGTCGTGTGTACTCTATTTTGCAGAGGCACGCACGATTGGTATCAACTACGGGAGACTAGGTGACAATTTGCCGACCGCGAGCGAGACAGTGACTCTGATTAAGAACTTAGGAATAGGAAGGGTGCGGATTTTCGACCACGATGGGCCAACCATCAAGGCGTTTGCAGGGTCAGGGCTGGAGTTCATAATCGGAATGGGAAACGACGAGATTCCTGCCCTCGCAAAGGACGCCAGCGCTGCAGACGCATGGGTCGCCGCCAACGTCGTCCCGTACTACCCCGCGACCAACATTGTCTACATCATGGTTGGCAACGAGCTCTTCGCCGATCAAACTCTCGCCGCGACGTGGCTCCAAGTTGTGCCCGCAATTCAGAACATTCACGACAGCCTCCAGAACCACAGCTTGTCCGCCATCCGCGTCTCCACGGCAGTCGAATATAGCATTCTGGCGGTCTCCTTTCCACCTTCCAAGGGCTCATTCCGGCCGGACGTTGCAGCCTCGGTGATGACTCCGTTGCTCAAATACCTCGACTCCACAGACTCGTACCTCTTTGTCAATGTCTACCCTTACTTCGGCTGGTCTACGAACTCCCAGTATATCCCCTTGGACTATGCCTTGTTCACCCGCAACACCACCTTCACAACTGATGGGCAGTATGGATACGCCAACCTTCTGGACGCGCAGTTGGACGCCATGGCGGCGGCCATGGCAACTGTAGGGTATCCGAATGTGCGCATAGCCATTAGCGAAACTGGGTGGCCATCAGTTGGGGATTCCAACGAGCTTGGCGCCAGCCGCAGCAACGCACAGACATACAATCAGAATCTTGTGACGCACATCCTCAGCAGTCCCACGCGGGGCACCCCTATGAGGCCGGGGATTTTCGTCCCGACTTTCATATTCGCGCTGTATAATGAAAACGCTAAGCCTGGGGCGACAAGTGAGCGAAATTGGGGACTCTTGTACCCTGATGGCACCGCCGTTTACCCCATCGACATTAAATCCGCGAGTTCTGCAACACCAGGAGGACCTGGCGGGGAAACGCAGGGAGTTGCAGGCTTGACTGAGAACACATGCGATGGCAAACCCAGTGTTCTTCCTATGTCTGCCTCATTCTTTGGATCTCTTTTCAATCTTAGAATTTAAGCCTGCTGTGACTTACTGATCACTAGGTTTATCAGTTCACTTTGTGGATACATACATTGTAGATTACTCTTATACTGAGAACATTGTTACTCCTTTATGTGGGTCATTGTGGAAAAGGCAATCCCTGGAAGACTGAAGCGTAGACGTCATCAGAAAGCCTTAGTTGGGCATACCACTAACAAGACCATGACTAGCGCTGTGCACCTTTTCTGTGTGCCAATTTCTTGTGTTAATACTTGTGGCTCGGTTTCATGGTTGAAATTCGAAGATCATGGAGTCTGTGACATGATACTTGTTGCATGAGCGCTGCTACTCTGCTGATTCTTCGGAGGATGGCATACATTCTTCTCTAAACGCAATGTCTCTCAAAGTGATCGCCACCAGGTAGTAGGGCATCCGATGCCTGTGAATGTCTATGGTTTCAGAGACACGACGAAAACAGTGTTGCTGTAATTCCCCGTCAAAGAGATGTGTCTTTTGGGGTGCCACACATGAAGAAACATGAAGGAAATACGCGGAAAGGAACTGAGATTTTGCTCGCTTTCCGATCGGTCTGTTGAAACTGTCCGCAACGGTCTCTTCTTCATTTTATTCCAAATTTAGACGTTTATCAAAGATTGTGTGTGTACAATGTGTTTGGGAATTGGAGGTTTCGTTTAAAGTGCGAGTAGCTTGAAAACCACGCCGTGAATGACTTGATTTTGTGTATTCTACACATGAATGGCGAGCTCGAAGGTTGTGCTAAAAAAATGAGAGAATCCTCTTTTTGAAGTGCTAAGTAAGCTGTGTCATACAGAAGATCTCGTGTCACATGGGAAGCAACACCTAATAATTCCATCCGATCTTCGTTACATGTTACTTCCAATGAACGTCTAAAATGCAAAAATGTTAACTATTTCTTACAGGATGTGGCGATATCTAAGCACAGCTGAGCACGATATTTTAGAGCTTCATTCGAAAAGCACCACATGCAGCGCGATAAGCGCCTATATGAAAATTACGCAGACCCATTTTCGACCACAACCTGTACACTGGGATTGCCGTCACTCACAACAGCGGATGCTTGTGCTTGAACCATTCGACGAACGAGTGTTTCTACCTGACTTATACAGTACTACAACATGGCACCATTAATTATTGAAGTATACATACTGGCGCACAGTTGGATTCCCCCCAGCCCTGTTAGAAAACGACGGGCTCACGCTTCCCTCTTGGCTCCGAAATGCTCAATCATCAGATCCTGCACAACCGGGAACAACTTGGTGGCTGGCACCCTAGACACGACGAGCTCTTCCAAATGCGAGTCGGAGCCAATGCGGGAAGCATGAAAGCATGCGCCGCTCCACTTCGGCTCTGAACTCCTCAATCCCCATCTCGTCTGTCAACCACATCATGCGCGTCTTCTGTCGATTCCTACGGCTTCCAAGATCTCGATATGTCTCCAGCATGGCTTTGCACAAGGGGATGACGTCGTTCATGGGCACCCATGCGTCCATTGGAATGGCTCCGGCTCAGCGCTTGGGACTGAAGAACCCTCCCACCAGGATGTTGAAACTCAGGACTTCGTTCTTCGCCGCTGTCATGTAGGTCAGGTCATTGAAGTGGGGATGTTCAAACTGTTGGAACACATCACATTTAACATGTCAGTTAATCCGCTTATCTGGACACATGAGCGGACATATAGATTATCGAGGTTAGGGACCACTCACTAGTAGAACAGTTACTGCGGAGGCACTACACCGCAAGCGGATTGCAGTAACAACCGTAAATTGCAAAGAGTAGAGAAAATCATGGGGACCAGCCAAGTGGCGAACTTATGTAAATGAGCATAACTCAATCATTCAAAGCAATGCAAGCAATTGCTTCATTCCATACTCTCAATTCTTGAAGTGCGACTTAGTACCACCTTTTGTTTCCATATTTTGGTATCAGAGCATTTTTTCGAAACTAGATGGCAGAAATCGTGCTAGCACCCACCATGAGAAATAGAAAGCACCAGATGGCAGAAATCGAGCCAACATTTCCAAACGCTCGCAATAGAAAGAGAAATACAAGAATGAATAGTCATGGCGACCCGTTGAAGTTGTATCATTGTACAACCTCAAGCAAGCCAGGGATAGAACTTCAGAGCACTCCAACAAGCCAAGAGCAGGCGAGTCCGCAGTAGAAGGAAGAGCTGCTCCATGTTCCAAGCATCATGAGTGTAGAATCAACTTCATCGATGACCAAACCACACAAGTTGGAGGGAGCCAACAATTTTTTGGTATGGAAGGTAAAGATGCGTATACTTTTCATGAAAGATAAACTTTGGCACATTGTTTGTCCACACAACACAACTTCGCAGCAAACAACTGAAACAACGGAGGTCATCAATCCTACCAATGCTGCGACATCCCAACAATAACGACATGACAAGTATAGAGCGATGGCCATTCTAATAATGTCTTTAAAGGACAATATCATCCACCATATTGCGAACTTTAACGACCCAACGCAAGGATGGCAAGCACTACACAACCATGACAACAAAAATGCGGTATGTACCATGCTATTATTCAACCAGTTGCACTCAACCAAAATGGACGAGAGAAGCTCGATGGTAGATTATCTACAAAAAATCAGCAAAATCACAACTGAGCTGCGATCATCAGGCGAGGAAGTATCAAAATTGAGACTAGTACATATCGCCCTCAACGGACTACCGCAGGAGTATGAGGGACTTGTCCAAGGCCTTCTAGTCCTTGACGAACTACCCAACTTTGAGAAATTAATAGGAAAACTACTTGTCGAGGAAGCACGCCTCTCTCGTCAAACAACGCAGCACTTTCAGGCCTTGGTTTTTGGATTTTAGAGAACAGAGATAGTACCCTATAAAAAGTAGACACAACTGAGGTAAGCTTAGAAGGCATGAAGATGTGCAAAACATTCCAAAACATTCCAACTAAATAATTTATAAGTTGGATTGGATTGAAGACATTGAAGACGTTGTAATAACTTTTGAGCAAGTAGAAGACATTGTTTCACTAGTATGCAAAATTTTGCACCAATTGGATTGTTAAATTAGGAACTACAACTAGTTGAAGCTCACTACTTAAGATTAGGGTTTGGAGAGATAATTAGAAGTTATAAAAAAAAAGACAAATAATAAGACAATTAGGAATTTCTTGAGGGATGTTTTTGAGTACTTTGCATTGGCTTTAAACCCTTTTGCATTGGAATTCAAATTGCTTCCTTCTTAATGGTTGAAATCTATTGAGGTTTCTTAGAAAAAATTCTTAAAAAAAATATGAAGCTTGCAAATCAATTGAGAAAGCAAATTGATGTTTCATGACTTTATTACATTTTATAATCAAGTTAGTATTATATGCCGACTTATGGCATTACATACTCCATATCAAAATGGAGTAAGAGAGAGAAAAAAATTATCGTTCTTATTGGGATGTCATGAATTTGATTGGACAAAAAGCATGTCAATCAACTCATAACTACCACATATGCTATGGCCAGAGGGAGTTGCAATGACTTTTTGGAGTTTTAACAAATTATATTGCCATGTATAGCCACATTTTGCTTAAATCTAATATTTTATATTTTTTTTCTAGTATTTCCTTGATATTCTAGATTCTAGTGATATCACCACATGTAAACATTATATCATCAACATAAAGAACAAGTAGTATATAGAGGTCAGAGATTGATACTTTGATATACAAACATTGATTAGTATTATTGTAGCGCAATCCCAGAATTATGATGTATGAATCAATGTTGTTGTACCATATGCTTTTGAATTGACATAGTTTATAAATGACTTTCTTCAATTTACACACAAAGCTTTGTAGTTTTTATCTTTAAAATCTTCAAGCTAGATTATATACATCTTGTCTATTAATACATCATTCAAGTATGTAGCCTTGACATCAAGGTATAATTTACCTCATTATTTCTATTTTGCTATGGTGACAATAATTTTGATTATATTCTACTAGACAATCAAAGAGAATATTTCTTGAAAATTGTGATCTTGTCATTGTTGGAATCCACGTGCTACCAATCTAACCTTAAGTTACTATAGTTCTTTCATCAAACTTGACATCCATACAGGTGATATCTCTTAGTTTGGATATTATAACTAACAAAAGTCCAAAGTTTTATGGTGGCATCATATTCATTTTAAATTATTTTTTCATGTGAGTATAAGCGGTATAGCCAAAAACTTTGAGTGTACTTAGGTTAATAGACTTACATGTGTACCATTCTATTGGTAATGTTCCTTGATTGACTCTCAAAAGACTAATAAAAGTTGTAAAAGAGATTATTTAGACAAGAATACTATTAAATGACCTCAGCTTCAAAATAAAACATTAAGAGCTCTTTATTACAATAATCTTAATGCTACAAAGTTAGTCAAGAATTTAATTTTGTATGCACAAACCAAACATATCAAAATTCAGCACTACTTTGTGAAAGAGAAGGCTGCATCAAAGGAAATAAAAATTATATACATTCCAAATAAAGAGCAACATACTAACATTCTTACAAAGCTTCTTAAAAGAACAACATTGTTTCATATGGTCAACAAGATTGAATTCAGAATCATAGTTAAACAACTTTTGCTTCAGCACAAGCCTTCCAAACTATAGCATCAATATTATTACACAAATCACCAAGGCTACTAATTATATTTTTTATACTATCCATACTTTTAGACTTTGAAAATTGTAGAAGATCGTCATGAAGAAGATATTCAAAAGATGTTAAATTGTTATAAAAGTGGTGATGCACAAATTCTATAACAATCACATTCTTAAGCGTATTTTGGAAATATCCAACTTTGTCAAGCATTGTATATTCTACTACTAACTAGTCAAGCATTGATTTAATTTCTTTATGCCATCACTTATTCACTCTATCGACGTGCAATAATAAAACAAATCTCTATCAATTCTCAACTTCAGCCATATTTTCTCTCTAACCAATATGTTTGGAAAATCTGGTAATAAACTAGTTTCTATTACCTTTATATCTTTAATCTTTGCCTTTTTGAACAAAAAGACCAAAAGAAGATCCAATACAACATATAGAAGCTAACACAAAAGCAACCAAAATATCTGCTCAAAAACTCTAAATAATTTGACAAAAGATAACTTATTGATATCAAAAATCAACAACATCATAGATACAAGGAGAGAGTGATAAATGTGATGAAAGGAAGAGTGTTCGAACACACCAGATTTAATACATCAGTTAATCCACTTATTTGAACACATGAGCAAATAAAAAGATTATTGAGGTTAAAGACTACTATCTAGTAAAACAATTATTTATTGTGACAATACTACATTGCTAGTCAATTGCAATAATAATTATAAATAGAAAAGAATAGAAAAAATAATGACAACTAGCTAAGTATAAAACTTATGTAAATTAACATATCTCAATCATATAGAGTAATGTAAGTGATGGCTTCATTTTATGCTTTCAATCCTTAAAGTGCAACCTAATACCATATTTTGTCTCCATATTTTGTATTTTTGTTCAAATACAAGTAATGCATCTCCACTATACATACAATCCACTTGCAAAGTCTATAGCAAATAACTAAGATCCAAAAATCTATAGATATCTTATACTTTATAAAATTGGCATATGATTACTTTATACTTATTGTCAATATTGTTAAAATTATTCTATATAAGGATATTATAATATATGAAATGATTAGAATAATTTGTACTAGGATGCTAATATAATTATATTATATTATTAATCAAGCCAATTGAGAGAGTTTTAATGTCAATAAATGGATTACTTGAATAAGTTCCATCCATAGAAGATGAGATATTCTAATACCTCCCATCAAATTTTCAATCAAATAATCCTAGTTGTGTTTTTTAATAGTTAATTTTGATAAAGAAAGCATATCAATTGTGGAGTAAGGTCTTCAATTATAAAGGAACTACATTAGTTGTGGAAGAAGAAGTATTATTCATGATAGGCAAGAATTCTTTAATGGTATGTATTGTACTTTTTTTTTATAAAACTTGTTGTATATTTATTTTTTCTTACAAATTCATGCTTTGCTAAATATTTGTTTGCAGATTGAAGCTATTTTGCTTTTACTTTAGTCTAATATACTACTGTTGAAGCGATTGTATGAGTGGTGCTTGAAGTTTCTAGAGTGTCAAATTACTTGAAGATTCTTTGATAAGGTTTATCTTTCTTCCATCTTAATAGTATTTTGTGTCATATCTCTATATGTACGCTTATTTTGGATACACCATAGATAGCTTGATATTCTAGTTTTGAATTTTGTTGAATCGCTGAATGTGTATTGCATAACACAAGAAGAATAAGATGAATTGTCTTTAAGGTACTTGCAATAAGTGCTAGATGATAGAGATTTGATGTCAATTGTTGAAACGACAACAAATTTAAGTCAAAAGGTTGTATGCTTGATTTATGCTTCTTCTAACTCAAAGAATGTTAATATTAAGTTAAGATTGGGCAATCCAAGAATTTATATTGTAAGACGAGAAATGATTCTTAGAATATATAATAGCTAGGAAGATTGTAAAAGAATAATAAGAAGATTTTTAGGGACAAAGTATAAGAATTTTAGATCCTATCAGGAGGCTATATATTTTCTAGGAGATAAGAAAGTTGTGCTTTAATATTGTGAAAGGTAACAAATAGAGTAGAAGAATTTATTATAGAATTGTGAATAGTACTATAAAAGAAGAAGTTGGTATCTATGTTATTACTTGTTGAAGTGACTATAGAGGATATTTTTGGCTAAAGGATAATAAAAGAGCTAATAAGTCCTAATTTTGCTCTATATTGCTCAAATTTTATTTAAAAGAGAAGTTTTATAAAGATATTTAGGAATTAAAAATCTTTAGGTAATCTAAACTAATTTCTCCAAAATTCATAATGTCTCTTATGAATTGGTAGTATATTTCTACATGTTTGGTCCTTGCATGAAATATAAGATTCTTTGTAAATTTGATGGCTGATTAATTGTGACAATGTAGGAGTAAGGAACAATATGCTTGCATGTTTGATAAGATGTTTTTGCTGGCATTGCTAAAAAGTAGAAAAGAAGATGAACCATCTATTGTTTCAATCTTAGTAAGTAATTTCTTAAGCCATATAGCTTCAGATGTCCTAATTAAGAAACTCATATATTTTAATTTTGTAGAAGATTTTGCAATTGACTTGCCTTTTATTTTTCCAAGTGATAGTTGTTCTAGATAGTATAAAATAATATGTGCTACTAGACTTTTTAGTTCTAGGCAAGAAACCCAATCTACATTTGTATAGCCATGTACAACATAGGAGTTGTTGTATTGATAGAGTAGGCCAAAATTAATTGTTATTTTAATACATCTTATAATATATTTAACAACTTTTAAATATATTTGTTGTAATTTTGACATGAATCTTAAAACTGTCATAATTGCAAATACAAGGTTGGATCCAGTGGTTGTCAAGATAAGATTAATTGTCAAGCTTTCCAACTATTTGGCAATATTTGTGAGGATCTACTTATAGAGATTCTATATCCATAAATAATATTAGGCATAGATCTAAAGGTACATATTCTTGTTTTGATTCATTCATCCTAAATTCTTTTATAATGTGAAAGAAATATTGGTATTATGATAGAAAGATATTTAAGGATAGGAATTTGAATTCTACTCTTAGATATTTAGAAATTTGTTTTAGGTCTATTATATCAAATTTAACATGTGGTTTTCTCTTTAGCCAAGATATGGTGTCGAAGTTCCTTCTTGTTAGAAATAGGTCGTTCACATTAACAACCAATGTGGCTCTATTGTTTGTCTCACCATTGTAATGTAAGTTATAAATATTACTAAACACATTATTAAATATTTATTTTTAATAATTTATTATACTTGATAAAAATAGATATTATAGATGTATATTTTGTCTATTTGCATCTAATATAAATTTCACTAATTTTATGTCATTGAAGATATTAATTATTGATCTATATTTATAAACATAGATATATTACAATGAAATATGTAGAATTTTTTTATTATTTTTTATGATATAAATTATGATTATTGAATTATAAATGAAAAATGTAGCCAAAAGTTTTTTTTTTTTTTTTTTTTTTTTTTGATAATTAAAAATTTAATAATGGATATTTTTTATAAAAATAATAAACAAATGTTTGATATTAAGGCCATTTTTAATCTTATGAAATTTTAATTTGACTTGTGCAAATATTGTGATTTGCAAGTTTTATTTAGGAGAATAATGAAGTGATCCAAATTTTTATTGAATGGATCTATCCAACAAATCAAGCTTCAGAGACGATTATTTGAAGATGTATGTGAATCAATATACCAAAATGAACAAAAAAAATATAGAAAAAAATAAAAAATAAAAATCAGCCATCCCAAACATCCATCCCATATTCACCCACTATTCCAAACATCTATCCTCTCCATAACTTCCATCCATCCATCCATCCGTCAAAATCACATTCGTCTCACCAAACACATCCATGTGCGGATGAGAAAAGCGAAAGCAACCCGGAGGAGAGTTGCTTTTGCTTTTTCGGGCCCACCACTGCTTTTTGATGAGTAGGAAGGAAGGAAGGAATGGATATGCTGGCGGAACAATGCGACAATGGGAGGCATCATCGTCTTCTATAAATCTGTAAGCGACGTCATGGTCGCTTGCATTTCAATCATTTTGCATAGAAAAAACAACCCATTTCGCGGGTAAATGATTGCCAAACCCCCCATTTCCGCCGTCAGATGGCCTGTTCGAGCTCCAGCTCCCTTCCAAATTAGGGTTTCAATCTCGCTCGCTCGCTCTGCGTCGTGATAATATTGTCGGGATTCGGCATTCATTACCCTGGAGTGGCGTTTGTAGCCTCGGGCTGTCGCACGTGCTCATTCCTGTCGTGCGCCTTTTTACCTCGTGTCTCGAAAACCAAAACCTGAGTGGGTGTATGGATGGGTCTTTCTCGAAAGGTTGATGATTGAGGCGTAGATTGTTGGAGTGGATTCCTGGGGAGGAGAGTCGTTGGATGATGCCGAAGCTTCCTGTCAAGAGACCGCAGCTTTTGCGAGCGGCGAATTCGGTCGTCCATGCGCCATGAGAGATTCTGTTTTTGTTGTTGTTGTTGTTCGGTTTGGATTTCATGCTGACGAACGCCATGCTCCGAAGTATCGTTTGTTTCTGAGAGGGAGGAAAAGAGATTGTTAGTCGTTGAATTTGGTTTCGTGAACGTTACTGGAGCGGTGAGAGTGCCATGAGCGAAAGTTCGATAGGTAGAAGAAATTTGGGCTTAGTCGGTGGTGTTAAGGGGATGGAGCCTTCAGATTGCCGCGTTGAAAAAGATGACCCGCATTGTAAGGAACGTGTCGGTAACCGGTAGCAGGAAGAGGATCAGCCCGAAGAGCGGTGCAGGGATAGCGTGGGATTCGGAGACAATTCAGTGTGTGCCCCCGCGTCGCGTGTACCATCATGGGAGCGCAGATATCACGGCAAATTCAGGTGGTGATAGAGAAGCACCAGCTCCGAAACCTGGAAGAATCCCGAGGGACGTCGTTTCCTGGTTGTGATTACAAACACCCGAACCACCGAGAATGGATGGCAACGTTGAATGTGGATGACATCACGGCTCGCGACGTGGTCTGGCCAGGAACTCACAACTCGGCCACGAACGGGATCGGGATGCCGTTCCTCACCCGTCCCTTCTTCCAGTGCCAGAAGCTCTCAATCTACGAGCAGCTGGTGAGCGGCGTGCGCGTCTTCGATATCCGCGTGCAGCAAGACCGGCGGGTGTGCCATGGCGTGATGCTGTCGTATAGCGCCGACTCCGTCATCAACGACGTGAAGCGATTCCTGGTCGAGACATCGCTGGAGTTTCTCCTCATCGAGTTCCGGACCGAGTGGAAGTGGTTCGACCCCTTGGATTTCGACGAATACCTCATCTCGCAGCTCGGCGAATACCTAATCCCGCAAGACGAGCACAACTTAGACAAGCCCCTACGGAAGCTGCTTCCGGGCCGAGTGTTCTGCGTCTGGAAGCCCTCCATCGCCCCGGCGCCAGCGCCAGGCAGCCCACTCTGGAGCTCAGACTACTTGCTCGACAGCTGGATCGACACCGATCTCCCGTTGACGAAGTTCACTTCCAACTTGGAATATCTCCACAAACAGGCGCCGAATGCAACCCGGCCCTACTTCTACCGCGTCGAGAACACGGCCACGCCGCAGCACTCCGGCCCCGTGTGGTGCGTCTTCCCCGTCACGAACCGCATTCGCGGCTACGCTCGTCTGTTTCTAGCCGAGACGTTCCGGCTGGGGCTCGGCGACCGTATCCAGGTCTTCTCCGAGGATTTCATCACTGACGACTTCGTGGATGCGTGCATCGGCGTCACTGTGGCCCGCTTCGCCCTCTCCAAGCGCCTACAACAACAGCACCACCCCGCTTTGCAGCAGCAACAACAACAGCTCCGCCCATGGTTTTGAAGCACCAAATTCTGTTGCTGTTGTTGTTGCTGTTTTTGCTTGCTTTCCTGCTTCCCTCCTCTTCTTTGTGCCCGAATTGTGGCCATTCTGTTTGCTGCTTTCTTTTCCCTGTTGTGTGAGTTGTAGATTGTTTCGCTATCTGTGGCCACTCTCCTTTCAATTCCATTCCCGATGTCAAAAAGTTTGTGCATCTCCCAGCAGCTTTCTTCCGCTCACCGACGGAATCTTTTTGCAGTTTTTCGGGTCACCTATTGTGCGTGTGTGTGTGTGTGTGTATGTGTTTGTGTGTTATTTGTTTATATTGTTATGTGGGTTTTTAATGTTTGGAAGATGGGATGCAGTGCATCGGAGAGTTGGGTTTCGATGCTCTTCGTTGCACATGGCCGTAAGGGAGCCATATACTGTGGATGAGGGAGATGCTCGGTTCAATTTTTTGTATTCATTTTCAAGTGTTTGCCCACAAACAAGGGATTTTAGGTTTACAATATTATCGAACTGTAACAATTGGGTATGTCGCAATATGGGAGTACTTTGTTTTGGTACAAAACAGGTTGTTATTTATTTTTATTTCTTTGTAAAAGATGAGAACAAAACAGAAATTATTATTTTTTCAGAACGTTGAAATTTGAAAATGATGTCATGATAGTTTTTCAATTAACATTTTGAGTTATTGCTGATCCATCTTCCCTTTTTTTTTTTTTTTTTTTCTTAGCTGTTGTTCTTGTTAAGGTTGTACGATTACATTATACGCGACTAATATTTCATTGTAAAATTTGCTACTTGATTTATTTTTTTTATTTTATTTTTTTTTTGTTCAGGTTTTCCTAATATTGATCAACTCCATTTAAAAAGTGTTAAAAATATAAGGCTTAGATTAAGAGATGAACGTGATTAATTCTCTAGTTCAATATTTTGTTCATCAATCCGAGATTATGAAAAATAGCCAGAAAGATTCAAAGAATTAGAATACATGAAAAACATGTTCTTGAAATCCTAATACACGATTTCATGCAATTTCAAATCATCATTTTATTGTATTGCAGCTTCTGTGCTCACATCATGTAAAAGGCTTCCCACAACTACGCAAAATTACAATGACTATATTTAAAGATACCGAAGACACTGACTATGAGTCCACCACACTCCATGGCTTCAGTTCAATCTAAAAAATGCCATCTCTAATTTTCCATGTTCCTCATTTCGCCATGAAAGTTTCAACAGGAAAAAGAGTTCGTGTCGACAAAGTCAGCCTTCGTAACGCATCTCATTGCAATACAGACACTGAGAAAACACCGAATTGGTTGCGATCTCACATTTCAAAGCAAAGCTCAGAGTCGATTTGTTTCTTGACACACAATGCTTTGATAAGCTGACTCTAGACACATTAGTCAACGGTTTCCCTTAGCAACAGAAACATTAAACAAAGCTGACATGGGTTAGCAAGCTTCAGAAATGCCGACACAAATCCACCGCCACAGATGGCGCGCAGAGCTCGCAACGACCTCGCAGAGTGGATCCACCGTCACTCGATTTTGCACGCTATTCTTCGGAACTGGGTTCCTTTCAAAACCGAGCAAGCGATGAGCACGTGAGCGTGGATCGAGGCTGAAGTAACTTGCGGCGATAGAAACGCCCTGGGACCGACCGACCGACTGACCGTCAAGCCTCGGCGAATCTCTCTCTCTCTCTCTCGCTCACTCCTGGACCCGCGTTTTGCCTTGTCAGCAAAACAAGCGCGCTTTAGTCGCAGGGAACAGGGATCTCTAGCTTCCTTCCTTCAGGCGCTTCGTAGAGTCGAAGCGTGTGGGCAGCATCAGAGGCACCAGTGGCACCGGCTTCGGAGACGTGGGGATCGATCAAGGCATCATCACACTGCGCACATCTCACACCGATCTCCTCCTCCTCCTCCATATAAACAAATCTCCACTATACCTCAAAAACACTAAACAAGTAAATAAATAAAAACAAAACTTACTGAATGTCCGTAATAATATACACATAAAATAATAAAAGTCGATGTGATGGACAAGACAGCAACTGTTTGAAGCCCCACATTACCGCCATCTTTCAAAGGCGCAAGATTGCGTCACTTTTTGTTGCTTGCAACAAAGAAATCCCTCTCTTCACTTTCTCACTCACTCACTTGCTCTCTCACTCACACACTCGCTTGTTGTTGGTTTGCTTCCCTGATCAGTTAGAATCTCACCGTCTTTTGTCTTTGTCTGTCTTGTTGTCTTGTTGTGAGTTGAAATACCTTGCAGCAATTTGCGGCACCGGGATTCATGTGGGTGTTGTTGTTGATACGGCCATTCCTCCGATGCTCTCTCTCTCTCTCTCGCTCTCTCTTCGGTGATCGAATCCTCCATAAAGAAGCTTCTGTTGCTGTTGTCGTTCAGTCTACGCTGCAATTGCAGCAACAATATGCACGTGGTGTGCAAAATTGTTGTAGAAATGGTAAAAATACAAAGTGAAAAAAGCAGTGAATTCATTCATTCATTCATTCATTCATTCATCCATCATTTGATGGTGATGGTGTTTCAGTTAATTTGACAAGGGAATTGAGAGAATAAATAAATAACGAATAAAAAAAATAATTGGTTTTTTGGAGAATGTAACAACATGGAGTGGTTTAGTAGTGGTGGGATAGAGTTTCACATTGGATGGATGGTATCTCTCATTCTTGTTGTTGAACTAATTCTTTCTTTGTCTTGCATTTTCTTAACAAAATATCTTCTTTATTTGATGTCTACAAATGTGTTTTGATCACACCCAACCACAAAACGTGTCTTTGTGCTTGTTTGCTGTCATTTGTATTTAATCCTGTAATTATGAAAAGCCATGCTTTATTTAACACTTTTTTTTTTTTTTTTTTTTTTTTTCTTTTTCTTTTGTTGCTCATGTAGGATGGTTTTAAGTGAATGGAAAGGAATACTCTTGGATACTTTGAGGTGATAAAAAAAATGCTTTGAGATGAGGAATAAACTGACCAGGTTACTAAAGTAGTATTATTTATAAAGTAATTTATTAAACATTCAAATAATACACCACTTGAAACACAAGAATTAGGTTTTTATCATAAAACTGCAAATCTTTAAGTATATATTTTTATCTTAAGTATTTTTTTAATAGACTCAAATATATAATCATGAAATCTTTTAGTAGAGTGAAATAAAAAATAAAAAATAATTTCTACATATATGTATATAATTCTAAGAAATTACTCAATATATAACAAAAATGTTAAAATATCAACCATATATTAAATATCTTTTTATTTTTTATTTTTTATTTTTTTTCGTAAAACCCAAGATGATATGCTTAAATAGCACTATTCAAAATTGAAACATAATAAAATTTTTTATTATTATTATAATAAACTCTATTTTTCGTTTTAAATATTAGTGATAAATATAATATGTCCAACGACCACACTTTTTTTCTTTTTTGACAATATACTAAAACATCATCAATTTACTTCAAAACTATTATATATGTATGTATGTATGTATGTATGTATGTATGTATATATATATATATATATCGAACTTCAACATCAAACCCACAACTACACTTCATTTTTGCATGAATTGAACCACTACATAACAAGGTTAAAATTATGCAGATTGTGCAACTTTTGGTAACTCAAGCCTCCCACCCACCTAACTTGATTGCACAAAACACTTTATTAAGAAACAGACACTGAAACAAAATTCTATACCTACACAAGTCTCCCTCATTAAGTTAAATCTAGAAGGTTCCTGGCCAAAACACATGACCCCAACCACATGTTATATCCAATACACAACATATGGAACTCTATGGTTCCAGAGTAGTTGAACATCTTTACTCTATTCATTTCTTTTCGTTGTTCTAGAAACATATATCTACATATATATATATATATATATAGTATGGTATGGTATATGAGCATTGAATTGGAACAGTGGGAGTAAGGTTTGGTTCCGCCGAGGCAACCAAGGTGTTATCAAAAGAAGAGGCAAATGTGTAGAAAGCCTACAAAAGCAACATCACAAAGCTAGCAATGAAGGCGATGCAGCAGTGAGATCTTGTTTCTAGACATGAGACCTTGCGAGTTGCAGCGCAGCATTCAAGCTCCGAGCAAGCACAAAGCAAGCTGAAAGAACAGCAGCAGGATCAGGTGATGGCAGGAATGTAAGGAATACAATGGGCGGAGGAGAGACGCACGTGATGAACGAAGCATGTGACCATACTGACAGACATACAGAACAGACACACAGATCTACATGCCTTTTTTCACTGCAAGCGATCGGATGCCTGCAGCAAGGTGAGCCATTCCTGAAGCAAAGCGCAAGGAAACCACGCAAGGACGCACCCCGCCCGCACCCCCCCGTTGTATCGACGCATTGTCAAGGGCACCAGGAGACTGAAATCAACACGATCTAGTCGTGCAGGAGCCTAGCGATGGCGTATTTCTCACGAGACACCGGCACTATCCTTCTAGTTGCGGTATAAAACGGTGCCTGCGACGACAATGATTAGATCGCCCAAGCAGTCACATCGTTCTAAGGTGGACCTGATATCGTTCCAGCCCCGATACCACACCCGCTGGATCCTTCACCTTGCTTTGATCCTGCCTAGTTTCGTGTTGTGCGTGTCACTGTTGCTGTGGAGCTTGGACCTCGATCCCTTGTACTGACCCACCTGTGGTCGCAGCTGCAGACTGATTTTCATGAGAAAAGCACACATAGGCTTCCCCGAATTCCAAGCTCGATCGCTTTCTCTACTCGCTTTGTTGTGAAGCAGCGAAGAGGGAGGAACATCAATTGTAAGTTGTTCGATCCAGTCTAGTGGCCATGGCAAGTTCAGCTTGTGGAGCTCGTAGCGTAGAGATCACGTGGAATGATTGTGACAGCCGCTGAATGTGGAGTAAGTTCGGCGATTTGTAGGAAGGAAGGGATCGCCATGGCGATGCAGCAGTTTGTGATGCGGTCCGGCAACACCTTCATGCTGGAGGGCCGTCCATTCTACCTAAATGGGTGGAACTCGTACTGGTTGATGGTGAATGCTGCGCTGGCCGACACGCAGCCGAGAGTGGACGCGATTCTGCGCGACGGAGCGGCGCTCGGGCTCACCTTGTGCCGCACCTGGGCCTTCAACGACGACAGCTACCTCGCTTTGCAGACGTTGCCGGGGACATACGACGAGAAGGTTTTCAAGGTGAGTTTTCGAGCTTCCTCTTCGATTTGCAATCCTTTGCTAGTACGGTTCAAGCTTCTTTTCGGCTGTTTGTTGGTTTTATGGTCGAGCAAGCTTCTGGCCATGGTGCTGCATTTTCCCCCATCTCCATCAAGGTGCTTCTCAGTGTCACTACTTTCAATCAAGGGTGATGGGAAGTTAACTCTTCGTGAAGTTCTTCGATTTTAGGGTGTCAATTTTGGATCCAAAGGGTTGAATTTTTCTTTCTCTTTTGCCACGATATAATAAAGTCGATTCCCTCTTCAGCGCAGCAAATTAAAGAGCTGCTTGCGCTGTAAACTGACTCAAAAGGAAGCAGGTTCATCACGTGTTTGTCATGCCAGGTGAATAAATGATTTTCGCACACGCCCTGATCAAACCAGACGGCGTGGCGCGAGAATCGTACATTCATCCAGATCGTATTTTGCCGCTTGAAGTAGGTAAAGCAGCCATTCCTGTCATGAATATGTGATGGATTGTGGCTCTAAGGATTATTATCTGACACCCCAGCGATTAATTCTCCACCCTCCTTGACGGATGTTACCACTCTAACAACGCTCTAGATTCCTGTCATCAATAATTTGGGACATTTTTCCATTCACTTCATGTAGTTTCCACATACAATCGGCTCCAATAATCCAATGACTTCTGCTCTCAACCATGACATGCTCGACCGTCTGCCTCTTGCCGAATGATAACACCTTCATCTCCTCAATCTAAACAAACACCGGAGAATTCATTGCACCTAAACATCCCTCTGTCAACCTCATTGATTGGACATAGGATTTTGTGTGGGTAATACTTAATCGCAAAACTTATTTGTGAGAGGATGCTGGATGTTGTAGGGATTGGATTACGTCATACATCAAGCTCAGATTAATGGAGTGAGGTTATTGCTGAGTCTAGTAAACAACTGGAAGGACTTCGGCGGCAAGGCCAAGTACGTGGAATGGGCCAAGGCCGAAGGAGAGGCTGTTGCCGACGAGGATGACTTTTACCGGAATGCCAAGTGCCGGCAGTATTACAGGAACCATGTCAAGGTGATACATTCGCTTGAACTAATCAGTGTAACGTTTACGAAATCGATCCCAAGAGCAGTTTCAACATTATGTAATTGTTCGCCTTGACTTATTCAATCAATAGCGGGCAAAAAGATTGTTTTATGTTTCTGACTGGTTTAGTTTTGGCAGGCTGTATTAACGAGAGTCAACACTATCACTGGAGTGGCCTACCGCGATGATCCAACAATCTTTGGTTGGGAGCTTATGAATGAACCCCAGTGCAGATCTGATTCTTCAGGAGACACGCTCAAGGTTCCCATTAACTTCTCACAGTAACAGATATAAAATCCTCCCAATGGACAAAAGTGCATGCACGTGCTGGGTTTAATCGAGGACACTGAGAATGAAACCAATTCAACCGATCTCACCCTGTGGGTTTTGTTTGCCGTAGGCATGGATTGGAGAAATGTCTGCTCATGTGAAGACTCTGGACAATAAGCACCTTCTGACAGTCGGCACGGAAGGCTACTACGCAACGGACAGCGTTGGTTGCCGTAGCTCAAACCCAAACAGCTACAGCGGCACAGTAGGCACTGATTTCATCCGGCACCACCAGCTACCTTACATTGATTTCGCAACCGCCCACGCGTACCCAGACCAATGGTAAGAGCGTTGCCTCTTTTGTATGATCTTTTGCATCTTCCCATAGTATTATACTATGCAATCTTCTCCACTGTCAACGTCCTCACAACCTACTTAGCGATATTGACCTCTCAGAGAAATTGAAAAGGACTATTGATTTTGACTGCCAGGCTGTCAGCTGGAGATTTTGACGCGACTCAAGACTTTTTCGACCGCTGGGTGAGAGCTCACATCGTCGACGCCGAGAGGGTCCTCCGGATGCCAGTGATCTTCGCCGAATTCGGCCTCTCAGACAAGAAGCCTGGATTCACCGAACAGAAGCGAGACGCATTCTTCGGCATAGTCTACGACCAAGTGTACCAAAGTGCGCTGAAGCGCGGCGCTGGATCAGGAGCTCTCATGTGGCAGCTTCTTCCTTTGGAGATGAGCGACTGGAACGATGGATATGGCTTAGCGCCAGTTTGCGGTTCCTCCATTTCCAATGTGATGCTGCGCCAGTCGGTGAGGCTGAGGGCCTTGCGTCAACCTATGTGCGGCATCGATGAGGGCCTGCCTCTGGATACTTGTGGCAATGTGACACCGCATGTGTATGATAAAGGTCTAAACCAGATCCTTGCGTAATCAGATGAATTCTACGAAGAATGAAGTGAAAAATGTTCTCAGATGCAATACAATCACTGGGGGGTTTGTTGATGAATTTCTCTCCATGCAAAGCGGACGTTGTGGAACAAATTGTAGGGGAGCCTAACCCCAGCCCCTCCAGAGCAAGTCTGTCGGATTTTGCATCTAGCAGCTTCCTTTCTTATCTCAAGCTCAGTTGATGAATTCTAGTACTTGTGGTAAAAGTTGTAAATCGGCTAATAAACAAAAATATGTTTGACGCCTTCATTTCGACTGCTATATACTCACATTCTTGTGTGCCTATCATTGTTACTTGTTGGAACCTTTTGCGAGCAGCCCAGCAGGCGAAGCTCTTGGTCCCATTTGAGCGAGAGCAATTCTATTTCTTGATGTCGCATACCGTGTCCTTCACAGCTAATGTGCTCTGTGCTTTAATCCCAATACTGTTCTCTTGAGCTTGGCTTCTCACGGTCTTTCCAAAATCGTCTCATGTCCGTAAAATCGACGCATAGTACATGATCTGGATTGCAACAGCACCTTCAAAGGCTATGTCCGGACTCCGCCGACGCTGTAGAGGATACAGCGCAATATTTTGATACTCGTGTAGTTTGTTTCCAGCAGCTTCAATCGAAGGCCGTCTGAAAGAATTCTTCTACTTCCTACATGTACACACTGTAATGTAGTAAACTTATCTTTATTCATTTACACATATGTCACAATCCATATCAATTCTCTAGTGACCTCAGAGCTTAACACATAATATATTCTTTCTCTTACGTGCATACTCTCTCTAATTGCAACTACTACTAACAATAGAACAACACAGTAAAGATCAACTTGAACACGAACACTCAAAACACTCTGGGCAGAATAGATGAATATGTGAACTATCTTTTGGATGTAGAATGTGAACGGATGTTTCATCCAACACTCCTACTCATCCAAACACATTCTACAAAGAATGCTAAAGCTTTTTATCCTCCCACTCATTCTTGTAGAATGTGTAGAGGTCCAATAAGGAGCACAGGCATTGAAAAGCATCATGTGGTAATGGTTTTGTTAAAATATCATCTATTTGCTCATTAGTATGAATATATTAGAAATCTATAGAATTGTTTTTATAGTATTTTTGAATTATAAAATATTTTGTGTCAATATATTTTATTTGACAAAGATATTCTAGATTTTTGACAAATGCAATGGTGACTTGATTGTCATTATATATAATAGTGGTGAGTTCTTGAGTTGCATCAAGAGAATGCAAAAATTGATAAAGCCATATTATTTCTTTGATTGATTCAATAAGTGCCAATGATTCAATTGATTCAATTAGTTTAGCAACAATGGTTGATGTTATCATATATCCTTGTTTGTGATGAGCTCAAGCAATTGTAGTTGAACTAAACATATAAAAAAATCTAATTTGATTTTTTATTGTTTAGATCACCACCAAAATCCACATGTATATAGCCAATCAATTGCAGCAATATAGATTAAGCTTTGTAATATAGACCATAGTTGTAAGTTTATTTGAGATATTGCATAATACATTTGACAAGTGTCTAATGACTTTGTTAAAGATGCTCTTGAAAGAATGATATATTATTAACAATATAACTAATATTTGGTCAAGTAATTATTGTTATATATATATAAAGGAGCCAACACCTTAGCAATAGGACACATGAATATTAGGATCATTAAAATCATTATTTTTCTACTACTTGGCATATATATTGGACGGTGTACAACCTTCATGAGCATCTTGAAGTCCAAATTAAAGAAAAATATCTTCGATATATTGTTGCTGATAAAACAAAATAGATCTTGTAGAATGACAATGTTGAATTTGAAAACCTACAAAATAGTCTATATGATCTTGAGTGACTTTAAAAGTGATTTTTAAGTACTGTAGTATATCTTCAATATAAGTTGGAAGAAGTAATATGATGATTCCATAGCTGACATAGATATCAATAATTGTATGTAGGTCACTGTGATTGTAGTATACATAGGAGTCAACTTTACTAGAAAGAAGTTAAAATCACTTAAAAATAGAAGAAATATGAAGGTTCTATAGTTGGACAAATTAATAAAGTCCATAGATACTTTTTGTCAATTGATGGCAATATATTGGTTGTTTAGAATCTTCATAATATTAGAATTGAACTAGATAGATCTCTTTAGATAAATCTCTATTTAAAAAGATTGTTCCAATATCAAACTATTGAATGTACATATCTTTTGCTATTCTAATTGAAAAAATGGCACATATTCAATCATATCAAATAATTAGAAAATATATTTTTGTGAAATCAATATCTTGTTTTTGAGTGAAATCTTTGGTAACTAATCAAGCTTTGAATTTATTAATTTTCTAGTCAAGTTTGTATTTGACCTAATAAATCCATTTGTTTTGGATGAGTTTGCAATGAAGTGGCTTAGGTATCAATTTCTATGTTTTATTCTCCATCAAGGAAATATACTCCTAATCCATTGCTTCTTCCCTAAATTTTGAATTGAAAGATGATATAACTTCATGCTATGTTTGTGGTTCTTGAATTGATTCTCTCTTTGATGCCAAAAAAACATTGAAATAGTTAATTTTTACAAAAAGTAATGACTGAAATAATAAAAAATTACTTATAGTATCAACCAATAATTTTGGAGAAGCAGGGGAGTTATTTATGATAAATTGATTCATTAAATGTGTAGATATTGACATCATTGAAAGTATGAACAATAGGAACTTGTGAAGGTGGATCTCATACTGTTTTAGCAAGGTTGTATGAGAGAGATACTTCTGCGAGTGTTTCTCTAGCAAGTTCATTTTGCATTTTATCACAAAGTTTTATAACTTCTATTGTTAGAAGAATTTTTTGGATAATAGAATAGAATCAAAGTGGAGACATTTGTATAAAGAATTAATTTGGTTGGTGGTTGAATCTTTTACTAGTATAAGAATCTAATGCTTTCAAATTGAATCGTTTGCAATTTTTGTGTGATTGATAAAAAAATATATATATAATTATCTCAATGAATATGGTGGAAAATTAAGAATATAGTTGCCTAAATTTTTGTCAATTTTAAAATCTAAATTTTCAATAACTTTGTCTATAAAATGATCTTAGAAACAATATGTACAAATTGGTAATAGAATATTCAACAAAATAAGCCTATGTATTTATAGAATTCATTTTATCTTAAACTTTATTATTGATGAAAATCTATGATAGTGAGCCAAAAATATAATAATTTTAAATTGAAGAATTCTTTTCAAAGGAGCATTTATATGATATAAAACTATTGAGATAACAATTGATTGTTTTGTTGAAAAGATATACAACCCTATCAATAACTTCCACCCAAAGTTTTATAAAAAATATTTTTGCATGGAGATAATAAGCCATTTCAAATATAGTGCAATTATCTTGTTTAATATAACCATTTTATTATCATGTATATATTGTGTTGGTTTGAAAATCATATGGTACTTGTTCAAAAATTAATTAAAAGAAATATTGCAAAATTCTTGTTTTTGATCAATTTCGATTGTCTAAACCAAATATTTAGTATCATGCTTGATAAAGTTCACAATGCATTTGAAAAACAAAAATGCTTCAGGTTTTTGTTTAGTAAAATAAACAAAATGATAAGTGGTGGCATCATCTTTATATGGATTATAATGTATTAAGCCATTAAGAAAGAAAGCTTGAGTTTTCTTTCTTGAAACATTATTATAGATGAATTGACTAAGAGTAGTATAATATTGCTTGGCCAAATCATGTTTATATGTTAATTTATGTTGCTTGTTCATCATATAGCCTTTGCAAAAATAATTCAAATAATCATATGTATGAAGTTTAAAATCCAACAAGCTATTGTGACTATTCATCTAGTGAATGGTTGACACATTTACATGGTCCATTTATTCATCCTATATTCAAATATCATTGCTAAATTTTGATTTTTGAGTTGTTAGGGCATAACTTATAGTTGTAAAACTTAAGTTGTAGGCAAAAGTGATAGTGAATGAAGAAGAAAGACATTAATTTGGATTGATTATTGGCAATATAAGGAATATCTTCCGTAGTATGTAATAGAGTTGTTAGAAATATGATTAGAAGAGAAAGTTGGTACAACTTGCATAATCATATTCTTTGTAATATTTTTTTTTCTATTGAGAGTATAGAATTTTCATTAGCTAAGAAAAGTGATGAAAGTTAGATTTTTTTTAATATAAGTCTTATTAAAAAAAATTCAATCAAATAATATAAAAAATATCTCTAATTATGCCTTTTTAAAATTTTCCATCAATCAAGTAATGAATTTGAATATCTTTGTGACCTTGAATCCAAAGCTTAGTATCATCTGTAATTTAGATAGTATGTATGCTTTTGAAAATATATTGAATCATTGCAAATCAATTATAATAATTTTTTATTTTTTTACTTGTACTACTATCCATAAAACATATATCCATAGAGGAATCAACTATTAAAGCTTGATTTGAGATGGAAGATGTAATGAAAAATGTAAAATAGTTTTTAGAAGTTGATTTAGATTCTTCATCAAAGGTGCTTGATAAATATAAGCTCTCTATAAGATTTGAATTCCTTAGTATATTATTAATCTTCTATGGATTTTTTCTATATAGTCATTTTTACTTTGACATAGTCTATAGACCAATCACCTAGCTCATGACAATTATAATACTTTGTACAAGCTTTCAAATTCCAAATTTAATTCATGTCTTTTTGATGCTATTCTTTCTTATTAAGAGGACAAGGTGGTAAAGTTGTTACTTGAGTAAAGAATGCATGATCATCCTTTATGTCACCACTGCCATGTCATTGACATAAGCTTTCATATCAAATTAGATGTTTTTCTAAATTATCAATTGTATAGAAATTTTTATAGACATTTGACCAAATTGGAATTATATTATTATATCTTCAAAATAAACTATAGATAATTTTTGATATTATCATTTTATTTGATATTATATAATTAAAATCAACAAGAATCATTGTTATTTCAATAATGTTTTGAATATTTTTAATGTTTTGCATCTTGTAATCAAAGAATATTTTTTTTGAAGAATAAAAATAGTTTCAAGAGTTTTTTTCTTCAAATGGAATGAAAACAATTTCTAATACATTATAGTAGCTGTTAAATAGCTTGTGAATTTTCCAAGAATTCTACGAGAAATAAATTTGCTAATAAACATTCTAGAATTTTCATTCTTTTTATTTCAAATATCTATTCTTCCTTGAT